GGCATTCTAGGAGATCAATTTGCTATCCTGCAGCACACTTGGAACATCCTAAACCATGTAGTACCATACATCTATGTTATTATAACTTATGTACATGTACATATGCAGAGTTCGACCTTAACTCTTTTTACTAGCCATTCGGGCTACTGAAACAGACTCTTAACTAGCCCGCGGGCATTTTCACTAGCTTGCATGTTTTTCTTTTATAGATTGTCTCATAAACATGATAAACACTGTGCATATTTGTAAAATGTGTATCCTGAAGCAATCGTGTCAGTGTTTTTAATAAACAGATCTAATCATTTAACCCTTAAACAGTTTATAAACTCACAAATTGATACAGCTTTGCTTTCTGAATTTGATGATGTATTTCTTCCTGTCCTTTCATCTTTGCCACATCCCAATAATTTTTGACTCGCCAGCCGGTTTCCTTAAGGAATAGTATGACTAGGCCGTTGCTGTTTTGTCTAACATTTGGCTAGCGGGTAACGGCTCAAGTCGAACCCTAGAACTTATGCATACATGTATGTTCGCAAGTTCCGGTATTTCACTCTTATTGAGTATTGAGAATAGGCCACACTGACAAACAAAATTAGCATCCGTGACAGAGCCAACAATCCCGGACTTAAACAACAACAGGGAAGGAGGATATACCGGTAGTTCTTGGCAGTGACACTACCATGGCAGGGAAACTTAAGAAGATGCTTGCTGCAGGGGCTCCAGACCCCGTGCCAGGATCAAAAACTCATCCAAACATTTTGCCTCGGGTGACTTCTGTAGCATTTGAAATCAGAGATTTGGAGTAATTGAAAACACAATGATGAATTGATTGTGTGGAACAGCTCCATGGGCATATGTACTGGTAGTCTGGTACTGAAGATATACATGCTGTTGGGACAATGACAAAGAAAACGCTGGAACGAGTCTGATTTCTGTGAGTGGCTCTTTTTGTTTGTGCTTGTTTGTTTGTGTGTAAGTCCTGTATGGCGTCTTAATTAGGAGACTTCAGTTTATTTTTAATTTTTAATGTTGTTATTGGCTAAACTGCTGCATGTGCAGATGTCATAAAGTATGTCGTAAATTGGTCTAGCTAATATTCTAGTTTTTAAGGCCAATAAAAAAAAAAGTGTTGTGTGTTTCTTGCTACATTGATAGAAATGTGGAGGGTGGATACATACAAGTTTTTTCAGTGCTCTAAATTTTAATAATCATAAAAACTAAGGTGAGATAATGGTTGAGTTAATTTGGGGTGTTTTTTTTTGGCATGCATTCATAACAGTGAATGTGAATCAAGTTCAACTAATGCTGATTATTCTGCATTTGTTGCACTGATAAAAAGTTCTCGCGGGGTATTTTTTTATTTATTTATTTATTATGGTTTATTTATTTGAATTAAAAGCAGCCCACAGGCTGAAAACATTCAAATTTACAATATTTTAGTTAAAAACTACTAAAAATACAATCAATACATCTTTAAATTGTAAATTAAAAGGTACAAATCATAACGGGAGAAATTATTCATTATCATTAACAGACTTCTAAAGACTTGCTAAGACAAGACATTGCTGATTAAAACTGGAGTGTAAAATGATTTAAAATTATCATTCAAAAAGAGAGTATGCTGGTTCCCGGCCCACAATGAGTATCGATAATGTACAGGACGTGAACCAGTCTGCTCGCAAAGCAGGTCTGTTTGTGACCAAAATAGTAACCTTTTTTAATTCAGAGGGTTGCAGATATCCAAAAAAGGAAAAAGGAGATTTGTTTAGGTTGGAATAAAACATACAAGTATATAACAGTTTATTAATACATAAAAAATATAGAATTTGTTGAAGAACATGGCGAGTGCAGTTTTAAGCATGTTTACATTTGTGAAATAGAAAGAACAACACAGGAAATGTATGTTTGCTTGTATTAAAATACATCAGAAGCATATCTGTACCCACCCAGGAAATGAGACACGCAACTTTTACTTTCTCCTGGAATGTTAAGGCATCATTGTTATGGCGAAACATAACTGTGCAGCAGTTCAGAATAAGAAAGTTACAAATGTCAGGATATGAGGGAAACATGCAGATAAATAATCAACGTCATTATTATTTCAAATGTGAAAACAAAAGTTAGGCTATATAGTCCTCACCATTGTCAGCTGCTGTTCGGTGGAGTAGCGAAATGTCTGCACTTGTGAGTCAGGGGTTTGGGTTCAGATCCTACATTGAGGATATGATCCAGAAGTTTATTGCTTGCCTGCTGTGCAGTTTGGTTTATGATGTCATCTCTGCATACTGGTGAATAAATAGTCTATGGAATATCCCCTTGCACAGCAAGGGTCTATGATATGCAAGCAGATTCAGCGATTAATTATGCAAAACAAGACTGCGTCTTGACCTCGAGATTCTGACCATCCAGCGGGCGCCTTCTATAATGTATATCTGGTCTTCCGTAACTCGTTGTTGTATTACAAAAGACATGGTATTCAAACTTGACCAATCAACAGCTTAGTCCATATTTCTGATCGAAATGATGTCACAGTTTCTAAAGTGCACTCTGATTGGCTGGCGGGTGGGCGGGGTCACATACAATGTGCATGTTATGAGACGTCAACTGTGACTCATGAATGTCTCATCCTAGTGAATTGGGTCCTCTTCAAGTGAATTTTGGTCTAACAAAATTGTGATCGAAGTGGGGTTGGAACCATTGTCGCGGTTGAAAGTATAGCCGTGTTACCGAGTGGACTTATCATTTTCAGAAGTATTGGATTTGGGTATGGGTTTATTTCATTAACCCTAACCCCTTGATGAGCACTTTTACAAGAAAGCATCCTGAATCCCCCAAAATCCACCTATATTCTCATATACAAATAAATGTTGGTGTCCTGAGTCCATCAGAATCCACCAGTGAGTCCATCAGAATACCGGTACCTCGTACACAGCAGGGGGTGAACATATAGCCAAGGAGTTAAACTGTTGAGATCCTGAATCCATCGAAGTCTCCCAACTGCTCAATATGGAGGTATCCTGAATCCATCAAAATCCTGCAGTACCGCTAGGCTTATACTGTCCTGAATCCATCAAAATCCCCCAACTTTTGCAATATGGAGGTATCCTGAATCCGCCGAAATCCTTTGAAACAGGGGTGTGGATTTTGATGGATTCAGGTACGTTTTGGTTAACACAGCAAATTTGTGCTCTGTTGTTTACATTCACGTACAATATGAATCATCGGTGGATTTCTAAAATTTGATGATAAAATGTGTTATCACTTAATTATGCCAATAGGCCTACTATCTTCACTCCACTGGCGACAGTTGCCGATGAGAGTTTAATTTTGTGCATTCGAAATAGAGGTTTTTAGGGAAAACGTGTGTAAAACATGCGATTTTAGAGCCCCAGTTTTTCGTTTTTGGTTATTGCATGATGTTTTGTTGTGCCTATTTTAATGTCTCACACTTGCTTACATGTACAAGCCTGAAATACATGATTTATTATTCTAAAATTTTAAACTTTGTTTCCCTCGATCTGTATCATGCTGTGTCAAATTTTCTGAAAAACCAAACTTTGCTGTTAGTTTTGACACGCTCTCACGTACGTGTAATGAGCCAGTTTTACTAGGTGATATGGTTTCTACTCTAAACCAATCTAATACCAGGAAATACTTAAAATGTTTTTAATGCTAATGCTGCTTCATGTATGTACATGGATGTGATAGGGCTTGTAATGCTGCCACAGTAGTACCGTGTAATGACTGTTGCATGTACTTCCTCATTAATTGTAATCACAAGAGCCCGTTAAAAAACTCTAACTTCAGTTATACATTGTAGATCACAGATATAATGATAATAAGAATGTGGCACTTTATGCCAAAGGTCTGACAGCGTGTCAATTTTTTTTTTGAAGCAGCAGCTCGAGATCAGTGCATTCTGGTCTCTATACCCTCACAGGTACTCAGTTATACTCCTAGGTGAAGAGCGGCAATCGTAGTAAAGTGCCTTGCCCAAGAACACAAACACGGTGTACCCTGTCGGGGTTCGAACCCATGTACCGGGGCACGTGAGTCAAACACCGTAACCACTGGACCACGAAAATATGTGAAGAAATGAAGATTTTGGCAAGCAAAGCAATGCTTCACTGTCATATTTCCTTCCATAACCCTAACGCTTCTTATCAGTCACTGTTCGGGTATCTTTGAATATCGCTAACTGATTCCCCCTTCTTTGTAATTTACATTTGCTTGTTTTACACATGTAGTTGTCATCTTGGGCCTTGGCCCATGGCTATTACATGATTAGATAGGGTTGCCCAATGAAAGGCTTTAACTTTTAAGATAGAAATCTACCAAAATTCAGGGCTATTAAATCCAGAAATATTTTCACCAGATCAGTGTCAAGGTATAAAGAGAAACATTTGTTGCTACAATAGAAAAGGATATCAGTTTGAAATCATTACAAATAGTAAAATGCAAAACAAAAGTTGCTTAAAGATGAACAGAAGTTTTTAATGATGGACATCTGGACCCATTTTTGTAGCACTGCTAATAACAGTCAGCAGAAAACTTGTGCTTACTATAGCAGAAAATGATGCTGCTGCTAATTAAGCCATATTTCATGGCGAGGACGTGCTAACTGTTGCCCGCATGGAGACTTCTATTATTACGCCACTGATTTAGACAACTGTTTTACTTGGGGTTAAGCATGCTTTTGCTGTGCTTACTGTCTTACAGACTCTATGAAATAGACGGAGACTCTGTTAGCACAAAATTGGCTTATAAGTACATTGTAGCGCTTTGAAATTGGATCCTGAACATTTGACTTTGTCAAATTGAACATGTGCTTTGTTGTCAGTTATTATGATTATGATACCCTAAAACCACCAGTTATGCAGTTAAAGAAAGCACTTATCCCAATAGTAACCCACTTACATTTCATATATTACACCCTTTGTGGCAATAAGTTGTCAACGTTGCTCTTTAACATTTTTGCCTTCTCTTCTATCATAACACAGAGCCTTTTTCTACCGGATTCAGCGCAGCCATCCCGGGCATCCTTCCACGAGGGGGTCATCAACCCCCATCAGCCCCCTGGTCACTTTGGTGATAACTCCATGGAGCTGTCCTTACTGACCAGACTGGTTCACACCAAGCCTATCTGGTTCCTCCCAAACACTCAACGGGCGGCGGCCATACACTACCTCCAGGGACAACCAGTCGGGGTGAGAAACTATCTCAGGGGTGGGAGATGGGAACACAGAACAGACATAATGGACGTCCTCTTTTGGGGTGGAATTCAGTTTTTTGGAGAAAACCCTCCGAAAAAAAATCAGACGTCGAAGATTTTCTGACACATTTTGTTGGCTCCGAGCATAATTTGCAGCTTTAGACTATTGAATAATCTGGGCCAAAATTGCATGACAAAATTTGTTTTCAGACATTTTCAGTTGTCATGAGCTACATGACACATGTACATGTATATGACGAAGCAATCAGTGTACTTGAGCGGGATTGAGCACAATGACATTGACTTATTTTTAAAAGATTCAAGATGCAAGATTCAAGATTTGTTTTATTAGTCATGTAAAACAATTACATGAGAGACGATCTGGGAAAAATTTGAAAAAAAGTTGGTAACAATATTGCTTGCTCAGATACATTTCATAAAGATATTCTCTGAAACCAATTGCACAAAATCCGAGGGGGGGGTAGGCTAGGAAGAATTTATTAGATTACATGTATTTAGGGAGTATTTAGCCTCCCTGCCCCCGAAGAGCCATATCTGTGAGCCTGTCAAAGTATGTCAAAGTACAACAGAATTATAACAATAGATCCCACATGTCTCACACAGCAACCGCACTCCCGTCAGCGCAAGAGGAAACTATCGTTGTTTGAAGGAAGTTGTAGGGAACAAAAGGAAATTGAATAATAGCAAAAGATTAAGGGGAAAATGAGACTCTGTCTCATATCTGAAAATGTACGTGCTGCAGTTGGAAGTGGAAGTCTTGTAAACTGCACGTACGTGATGTGCTCCCCTGTTGGAATGGGCTTAGTGTCTGGTGTCCGCGTATGTTTTGGTGAGTTGAAAATTGCGAGAACCAGAGTGAAATGCTTCTTCTGTTTTGAGAAGTTTGTGATTGTAGCATAGGTGACTCAGTGGGAAGGTCCTTGGTTCAGTGTAGTAACCCTTCTGCTGGCTAAACAGGTGGGTCACTGTTGAAGGAGTTACAGTACACAGGTGGAGTTAGTCCAGAGACCGGAGATTAGAGAAATCTCAGTTGCTCGAAAAGCTGCTATATTGGGTTTCTCTTGATGCAGTGAAAGTACACAGATGCAAAGTTGCAACTCTGCTGAGTGTATGTACATGTACACACTTTCTTGTTCCCTAGTTGTGGGGACATACATTGTACACTCGTCTGTACAAGGTACTGGTATTTGTGGGGACCGAAAACACTGTTGAGACAGCAGAAAGTCCCCATAACTGGGTCCTAATTTGCCTAAGAATAAAAAACTTCCCCATAACATGGTGTACCGTAGGCCTGCACATTGATTCTGATTGGACAACTAATCACGATATGGAATAAATTAAATTCATGCTTTCACCACGGATATTTGTAACAACTTTCAAATCATTTGTTTAAAACTGCAAGTTTGTCATTTGTAAGGCTGTCAGTGAATTATTTTTTTGTTTTCATTAGTGACATGAAGCCAATTTATTTCCATCAATCAACCAGGCTGAATTACACACTTTTTATTTCTTTTTCCTGTGAATATAATCCAATTTCCCGCATCAGATAGCACTATCAATAATGTAAACCAGTGTTGTTGTACATGTAACTCGTACTTGACTTGTTCCATACTCAAGTACATTTTATTTGTACAAAATTTGTACTCGTAATATGATAATGTACTCCTATCTCATACTCATACTCATACTCATACTCATACTTATGTCAAAGTACTCGCACTCATACTCATGGAAGAAGTTCTCCCGCTAGAATTTTAGATTTTTTAAGAGGAACGTGCAGGAAAAGCACCAATTTTCTTTTTGAGGCGCTTTTGCATTTAGCTAGTTCGAAAGCAAAAAGCCCTTGATTTGTGAAACCATTGAAATGGAAAGTTACTCATCATGGAAAGTGCGTGTACTTGAACTCGTGGAAATAGAGACCATTCAAAATGATACTTTTACAGGATAGTAAGTGGCTGGGAAAATGTTGCTTGTTAAATCACCATTTTGTTATTTCACAAAATCACAGCTTAACTTTTTGATGTGAAATGCACATTGCCCATAGTATGTCAGAGGAAATAACCACGCAAAACGGTGATATAAAAAGCAAGTTTGTTCCAAGCCGCAAATGTATCCTGTACAGGTTGAGTTAAAAAAAGCGAAACCCAAATGTCGGGACTATTGTTTTATTGAAGTTCTGCATATGGCACTTTCAAAATCAAGGATATGAAAGCATGATTCATAAGCTTTCTTTTAGTACCAGAATAATTCAAATCACTCATGTACTTTTCAAGTTACGGAATTTTTAACACAACCACCGTTTTAAAGTTCTGTCCGCGGATCACCAAAAAAAAGGTGTGCCTTCTTTCAGCGAAATGAAACAATTCGCACACATCCCTATGTGATTTCTTTTCGTTTTGCTGAAAGAACACTTACCTTCTTGTGATCCGTGGACAGAATTTCAAAATGGTGGTTTTGTTTAAAATTCCGTAACTTGAAAAGTACATGAGTGATTTGAATGATTCTTGTACTAAAAGAAAGCTTATGAATTGGGCTTTCATATTCTAGATTTTTAAAGTGCAACATGCAGAACTTCACTAAAACAAATGTCCCGACATTTGGATGTTTTTTTTCACTCAACCTGTACACGTACCATTTCTAATGGTCCCTATAGAACTTGTAATCTCACTCATGGAGAAAATGGCCTTGTACTCATACTCGTACTCATACTGTATGTACTCGCCTACAACACTGATGTAAACTGACCAGCCAAAAGGCTTGTCTGGTTGTCAGCTATCCTATGATTGCTAAGCTTTGAGGCTAAACTAGAAATCTGACAATCAATAAATGAAAGCAAAACATGGTGAATCGAATAGGAACAAAAACAAACATGGAAAACAGAAAAAAGAAGTTACTGATTGTTATTGTCGTTTTAACATCCGTGTATGATACATTTGTTTAGAGTTATTCACCAGGATGCTAGACACAGTCTGTATCAATCGGCGCTCGGTTTGGTTTCTTAATTTTACCATCTGCTTGTGACCAATCAGATTTGCCCTTGTGAGTGTTGTTGGCATTGTGATTTATGGAAACAAGCGCTTCCTTTATATTTCTGTTGATGGGGTGGTATTCTAGTCATAACAGGCATGTGTGATTCATCCCACTGTTTCCTTTTGTGTGAGCACCAAATCTGGTGTGACATTGGGTTTATTTTTTTATAGACTCCCAATTCCACCGGAAATGTTTAATCATGTCTGAACCATTTGTCTAGTATTGGGGGGGGGGGACCACAAATTTGATTAAACTTGTCAATTTACATAATCCGTGTTGCAAGTTGCTTTGTTTCACCAATGGCTTGGGAGGTACATGTAAGATTTTTTTTTTATAGTTGTTATCAGTTCAAGGTTATTGGAATGATTGTTATTAAGAATTCATAAATACCTAAGACAATTTACCCATTCCTATTGGTAGAGAGCATGTCACGTGGCCGGTTTGAAACGGTTGATAAAACACGGGCTGGCTGGTCTTAAACACTTTCCCAGTGTCGCATGAAATGTTGACTCTATGAAATCCCATGCTAGTACCACTTTATTGGTTGAACGTTCACAATCCTCACATAGGCATGCACAATACTACCAGTGACTGGCAGTGAGGCAGTATTTCAGAGTCCTGAATTCACACTACACCGACACAGCTGCGTTCTGCGCCACATCACACTTTACGTTGTCTCCCTATAAGGAGTTGTTTACCCCTTCTGGCAATAGAGCCATACCATAGCACAGCTAGAGGAGTGTTTCTAAAAACAGTAAAACTTCTAAACAAAATTGTTAGAAATTTATAATATTTGACTTGGTTTGGCTTTTGGACCGAATTTTTTATTTTTTGTTTGACCAAAAATGTATGAAAGGAATTAACAAATATGTGCCTGGTCAGTATTAAACACAGTTATGTTTAAGGCAGGTTGGAGTGCAGATGCTGATACTGATAGTGACCAGAGCTGAAGTCACTATCAGCATTCCAGACTCCAACCGGTCTTAAACAAAACTGCTGCTTTGCACTTATGGCAAGCAACTTTGCAACTTTTTTCAGCATTGAATATTCATGAAGGGGTGTGGTGCAAGTTAGTCATCAGATATTCTGTGTAGCCAGGGATGTTCCAAAGTCATGATGCATCCTGGAGAGACAAGTTGTTATAATTATGTACATATTCAATGATGAATATTTATGAGCTGTTGAATGATTCATTTGCAGACTTTTGTCGTGTGCCAGGCCAGAGACAAGGACAACCTTGTGCTGACAATGAAGCATCCAGGGAAAGGAACGGGACTGTACATTGAGAAGCTGCCCGTCCTTATCTCCAACAATGGTAGGTCAGATCCTGGTTGGTCAGATCCTCTTCCGAGATTGAAAAGTCAAATCTTCAAGGACACTGAACAGAAATACAAATGTCTAATCTAGAATCTCTGGCACATGTGCCAGATGTCTGCACATTGTTTACATCTGTTAGTGAAGTTGAATGGCTCATCAGTTGATTATCATTAACGTTCACTAATTGTCATTTATTGTCATCGCTTGTCATTCAGATTGAGTGAGTGTCACCAGTTGTCATAACTATTACCATAGACTGCCACTGCTTTTCATTGACTGTCACCAGTCTTCATCGAGAGTCATTGGGTGCCATCAATTGTCACTGTACTCTCACCTTTCCCTGCATGTTGTGTTTCTTCAACCTTTCCCTTCGTCACATGTAGTTTTCAGCATCATTTTGAAATTCCTGTACATTTTGCTGTTGCAGTGTATTGAGTTATTATCAGTGTGAATTGAAAGACTTTCCAGAATTTAGTCATTGTCGGTTAATCACCACATGAAAGTGAGATTGAGAAATCTTTCCTTTAGTTGACATTGCCAAATATGGGTTGATGGGTGGTCTAGGGCCGATCAGATGGCACACAACCAGGAAGTTCCACGATCAAAATCTCATTTTTCAGCAATGTATGTTGATGTGCAGTGATCAGATGACATGCATTTTATAATAACGAATCAAAAACTATCTTGGGAGAAAAAAAATTCCATTTCTGATTGCCTGTTTCTACTAGGTAGCTCAAGTTACAAACTATGAGAGAGAAAGTTTGAATAAGGAACAAACCCAAGATATTACGTTCTATGGGTTCATGTCAAATGTATGCAAGTTATGAACATGAAATTGGGCTGTTTCAATGCAATCAATGCTTGAGCAATTTTTGAATAGTTGGTTGCGGTACCTGCTGCTATATCAGATTCGAACCAGCCATCCGACTCCGGCAAGCTTGATAGTCGAGTGGTAAGACGTCTGCACTACAGTATGTCTTCCCAAAAAGTGTCTGTCTGACTGTTATTAAAACTACAAACTTCGAGGTCAATTTTGCAAATTTAGGCTTGTGCAGATACCTAAGATCCTAAGCCTTGGCCTCAACCACTACAAGTTTCATTTAATTTCAGTCACGCATCACTGCACAATTATCAATTGATCACAACATTTTTGGACACTGTGACCAAGTTCCATGCCTTAATCAATTTCAGTGCCATTTTCTGTAAGCTGTGGACAATCCTACATGTTGTGAAAAAAAAGGCTGATACGGTTTGGGATTGGAATCATTTGCCTTTGAGCGTTACACTGAGGTCTTGCCATGATGACTGATAGCCAGGCAAATGATTCCAATCCCAACTGCAGCCCTTTTCACAACATGAAGGATTTTGCACAGCTTACTTAACACGGTACTGAAATTAAATAAGGCAAGGAACTTATCACAGGGTCCAAAAATGTTGTGATCAATTGATAATTGTGTAGTGATGCATGACTGAAATTAAATGAAACTCATAGGGGTTAAGGCCAAGGCTTAGGAGTAAACATTTTTCAAAATGGACTTCATGGTTTTGTAGTTATTTCAAAAATAGTCAGATGGACACTTTTTTGGAGGGACATACTGTAGTAAGCGGGAGGTCGTGGGTTCGAATCCCACCCGAGTGATTTTTTTCTCTCAATAACTCAAGGCAACACTGATATGTCAATAATAATATGTTGGTGAAGGGCAACACCCAATGTTAAAGGTTGCATTTACAATGGGTTAACCTGTGTGAAAGTTCTCCTGAGCACATACCATGATAACACCAGTGGATATACTTATTTGTTTTTCTACACCTGGCAATGCCTACAGGTGTGAAGTTGTCCAATGCCACGGAAGAGTTCTCCACCATTGAGGATCTTATTGTCCACCACCTGTACCACGAGGGCACCCTGCCCTGCAAGCTGGCCCTCCCACCAGACATCATGGCAGCTGGCAATATCAGAGCGTTGCAGTCACTAGCACTCTTTGAAGAAGGTATGTACTGGGCCCAATTTCACAGCGCTGCTAAGCACACAAATTTGCTTACCACAAAAAAAGTCTGGCTTATAAAAGCAGGTTACCAGCCAAAACTCCATGTGATTTTCATGCTAAGCAAACAACAGCTGAATACTAATCACGAGCAATATACTTCACACAGAGTTTTGGCTGGTAACCTGCTTTTATAAGCCAGACCTTTTTTGAGGTAAGCAAATTTTTGTGCTTAGCAGCGCCTCGAAATTGGCCCCTGGTAGCTCTTGTCAAAGCTTTATTGGGGTTTCAGAGTTAAACTCAGCACTGTATACCTATTAAACATTAGTCCCTATATTGCCCAAACCGCCCCAAACCGCCCTGCCTTTTCCTCCCTGTACCGCCCGACATGGCCCAAGCACTCAGTGGCTTTATGGATTCCTCAGTGCAGTGAATAAGTACTCTGTAAAGGCCGGTTCGTACTTCATGCGAAAGCGAATGCAATGCGAATTTGAAATCAGAGTTGAAATGTGTTCAACTTTTGTGAATTCGCAGTGTGAAAACTTGCCCTGACATCACAAATTCAAGTTCACTTTCACACCGAGGATGAACCAGCCTTTAATAGTACAGTATACCGGCATGCAACTTTTCCTCGGATCAGCTGATTTCCTTTTTTTTTCACTTCCAATGTGTGCCATTGAAAATAGAAAAACACTGTACAAAGTCTGGGAAAAATTTGAATTTCCTCTTTTCTTGTGATTTCTCAGTTGCATGCCTGAGTATAGGAGTGGTGCTAATAGATTTATATCTTTTTGATTTGATGAGTTTTCATTTGAAGTTGTGCCAGTTTTTTTCTTGGCACGCAGTAGGTACTGAAGTACTTGGCAGACAGTATACAATATATATATAGTTTTCACTTAAGGGACTATAAAGTCAAAATGAGAATGAATGATTGTATTAGTAATGCAACAGGCCGAGCTGGGCGAGACGTGGCACGAGTCTGGCTGTAATCAGCCAGGTCGCGCCACACAAAACAAGCCAATAACTATAACAGAAATGAAACTAGTTAATTAAAAACATCAACTAACACTCACAGGTATAAAAGACCAGTGCAGGCGTGTGGCTGGAGGAGAACACACACTTTGAAAATGCGAAAAAATGAAACTGAAAAGAATATACCCCAACGTAGTTTGAATAATAAAAATGACCAACAACCCACTGTCCGCAGTGGCGTTATATACCTGTAGAGTGCCCGTAATTGGGAAAGGGAATGTGGCACTGCATAACTTAATTTAAATAACTGGGCGTGCCTTTCCAAAAATGTCCACCATGCATGTTGGGTGAGGCTTTCTGTTACAGTAATGTCTCCGTCTCGGAGAGAGCTAATGATTTTTGTGTTTTTGCTTCAGAATTCTGGAAAAGAAACCAAAGCCGGCTCGGTGTTGTGGATCAACAAGCTGAGGGACCAACGGATTTCCCAGGACTGGTAGGATCCCCCAGGGGTTGGTCCACATTTCCACCTCCATCAGCAAAACAACACGAGATCCAGTCAAGTAGTTTGACTTCGTCCATGGCACCCAGTCTGCCATCGCCCCAAGGATACATGGTCATGAACAAGCTTCCTATGTTTGCTGTGCTGACACCAGAAGCCGCAACAAGTACTGGGACAATGCCAAAGTTGGACAGTGGCGGGCAGGGCCTGCCCAGTGTATCCATGCGGCATCGTAAAGTGGACAGTGTCACTGTCCAGGGACACCTCCACAAAAGCTGGAGCTTTGACGACAAGAGCACTCCGTTCAGACAGTCGGAGTTCATGTCTATGATCCCGGCAAGGGACGTGAAGCGAGAGAGCATTGATGATACACTGCTGGCCACGACCGGGCGGCAACCCATCCGATGCAGCACACAGAGCCAGCAAGAGTTCCTCCTCCAGAACCTGGGTCACTACCCTCCACCCCTACACAGCCCTCCCCCGCCTCCAACAGACTCTCTGTATGCTGCTGGAACCTTGCAGCATCCTGTGGCGCCTCCTCTCCCCCAACGCGGTTCGGTGGAGTACTACAAACCCTTTGAGAGCACACGGCAGGGACATCACCCTCCCTCAGCTTTCGGTTTCGAATCCATAGTACAAGGAGCAAATCAACCGCCACCACTACCACAACGCTCTGCCTCGCATCCTCCTCAAGGCCCTCTATATCAGCAACCCATGGCAGCCTCATCGCTCCTGCCAGACTTTACCCAGTATTCATCCCCAACAATCCTCTCGGTACCTCAAGGTTCTGGAAGTGAGTATGCCAAATTAGAAGCCCAGTTGGCTTCACTGGAACAAACCGGTGTGCCACAGACTGAAGCTGACCCACCACAGCAGCCCACGTTCGGCTCAATTGAAGGCCAGTACAATTTGGCACCTGTTCTCAAACCCTCAGTGTCGGCAACACCATCACCCCTTTCTCCTGAACAAGTAAGCAACCCACTGTTTGAGTTTGATCCTTTACTTGCATCCAGCCAACAAACAGAGACTCCATCAACTGCATCTCTTCCATCTCAGGATGTTTTCAGTGCAACACCCGAACAATCACCTGTCTTAGCTGAATCACAATCCCAACACCAGCTCCCTCAGAGACAATCCGATGTTTCAATTGGACAGCTCGTGAATTTGACAATGGACAGTAGCGAGGATGAGGAAAAGAAATCAAGAGAACCCAAATTGGCAAGATCAGGAGGACAGACCCCTGAGTACAGCAGTGAAGACTGGGACCAATCAGGCGATGATGAAGAAGAAGACGAAGACAAAGAAGATGAGGAAGGAGACAGGTCCAGAGGGGATCGTAGCTCCTCCACAGCTGATACTCAAAGTAGCCACAGCAGCGGAGCACAGTCTCAGGCTAGTGGGGAGCACACAACCAAAGACCTCAAGATGAAGACGTATAGTGACGAGGATCACGATGAGCGAAGCAGCGTTGATAAACTCTCTGAAATAACACCCTCGCGGACCAAGAAAATCAAGAAATTAAAGAAGAAAAAGATGAGCAATCTGAGTAGAATTCAAAAGTATGGTGAGTAATTTAAATACAGCAAACTTACAACCTTTGAGTCTCTATAAGTGCCGGCAATAAATTTGTTTTAAGGCTTTTCATGGTGGAGACTGCAAGTGACTATCTCAAATATTTTCTATCTGTGGGTATTTTTCTTAGTTCTGAGAAGCAAGGGAAAGAAGAAGAAAGACAAAGGAGATCCTGCTGAGGAGATCCAGGCAGCTATTCACAAGTAAGGGATATCGCAGGTTTGGGTCTCTTGGTAATTGCGCACTTCCTATTGGCCCGTATTACAAGAACATATTTATTCCCATTCATAAATACCTTTCGGTCAAAACGTCAAAACAGGTCCAAACTTATAAACTTCCAGCGATTTTGTTCCTCATTTTTTGTGAAACACCCTTCTAGCTTTGTGTATGTTATGTGCCTCACGTGAGTAGTCCTAAAAATCTTATATGGAGATTGGCGCGCATGCGGATACTGCTCGATGTGACGCAGAACGCAGCGGTGCTGGGAGAAAAAGTGTTTAAAACCAGTCAGTGTTTTATCAACTGTTTACAACCACCAACGTGACGCGGTCTAGGAATGGGTTAACTGTTGCAATTATATATGAATACCTGGTAAAATCAGTCTGTGCAGATAAACTTGTCCATAACATATCCTAGATATGTGATGAGACGATTCCTGTTTAAATTTATAACACCTCGCCCACAGATACTGTGTTTTGATTGGCCGAGAGCAAGTTACATGATACTTTCTATTTTTGCTATCTTTCTGTGCATGGCCAAAAGTACTATACCCGTAGCAACCAAAGTACTATACCATTAGCAACCAAAGTACTATATCCACGGCGTGGTATTTGTGTGCAAATGCATGTTGGTGTGCGCATTGTGCGCAGCGCGTTTTGTTCCAAAGAAAGCGCGCCGCAGAATTGGGTTCAAACATTTCATGAAGGACTAGTTTGGAAGAGAGAAATACATTTGCCACCAATTTTGTATTGAAATTGAAGTTTATTTCAACTGTGTTCAGATTCAAATAATTTAAAATATTAAAACCAAGCAGAATCTGTGGGTGAAGTGTTATAAACCAAATACTGCATGCTTTATCTCGTGGTGAAGTAAAACTAGCCTCCCTCGGTGATCCATGGAGCATTCTATTTTCTAATTTTCTTTAAAAAATATTCTATTTTCTAAAATAGAATGTCCATGGATAACCTCGGGAGGCTAGTTTTACTACACCACTTGAAGCATTAAATATTTTTGTAATAGAATGAGTCCAGTGACAATGACCAGGAAACCCTGTGTTTCTCCTGCAGACTTGCCAGCAACAAGAGCAGCTACTTCAGCATGATGATGGAGTGCTTTGTGCAGAACATCAAGGACAAGGAAGAGAAGGAGAGACCAGACGTCTTGATCCGTAACCTCCGTCAGTTCATGAGTGGCATGAAGAACTACCTGTTTAATCGGCGAGAGCCCGAGGTAGACGCTGCCATGGATAAGGTGAGATTGACTGATAATAAAAGCTGAAGGTTATATACAACATTTGCAAACATTCAAACTCTCAACTACCAAATTGTTATGAAAAAAGTCTACTGGGTTGAACATAAATAATAGTCTCAAGCATCCTGTGGAATAATTGTGCATGGTATGCTGTCGATAAGAAAAGAGGAAATTGTATCAACACTAACGATGATTTGGACCAAACCATCATTTGTGGCTTTTTTGTAGAAATAATGGGCAAAAGACGGCTATTTACATCATGGGTCAGTGTTGTAGTCGAGTACATTTCCATGAGTACGATTACGAGTTCTTTGCCATGAGTACAAGTATAAGTACAAGTACTTGTATTTATTTTGACTGAAAGGACTATTTGGCACAGAATGTATGTTTGCATAGGAGGGCTAATGCAGACATCTTAATCCCCGGACCACTGAGATTGCGTGGGTAAGCTGGCCAGTTTTTGAACGTGATATCGGAGTGGAAAATGCAGTTAGTGATTAGAATGATCGAGTTGGTGATCGGCAGTGGTGGGAATCGAACTAGGTAACAAGAGATCAACAGCAAGAGAAGCACCACTGTACAAAAAAAAAGATGTGCCAATTCTGACCACTTGCTTGATCATGGAATTTGAGTCACACTCCTCTTCCAAAAAAAGAAAAAACCACCAGTTTTTGCTTTTATTTATTCATTTTTTACTATTTCATCTACAGTACTATGATCTGACCATGGCTGAACTGGATGCCATTGTAGAGAGCGCCATTCACAGTTACATCTTACTCCCGCTCAAGTCCGAAATCTACAAGTGTTATGTCAACGATCACAAAGAGTCTGGAGCCCTGGACGCGTTGGATCACAACATGCAGCTGGCCCGGGCCAAGACCCCAGTGGAGCTGGGAATAAAGGTAAAGGGAGGAGGAATTGTTAAACAGGAGGATCCTGATCAAATCATCTACGCGGCGGGGATCAATATCTGCATGTTAGATGTCTGGATTCTGGTGTCAAGCCAGAGAATCACCCTAAACTTGAAACTCATAAAAGTTAAAGGGCCTGACATTGTTTCTCACACAGTCTTTAACAAAGGCAAAGTGAAATGGGAAATAAGGAGAGCCCGATTTTTTTACCAGATTAGAATCTTTTGCATGTCTATGATATTATACGTGTAATGGCACCATTAAGGAGACACGTTATCGTAATTTCTTCGCACGATGGGAGACGTCGGTCATAAGGGCGACATTTTCATGTCTCCCTAATGTCACAGCCCCCCTTTAGAAGCACAATTATTATTAATATTTCTGGTAATGAAACCAAGGATTCCTCAAAAGCGCCCTAGGCACTGCAGCTCGCAAGCCTGAAGAAACCTGTGGAGAGAAGACAATGAGAAGAAGTTACAGTTCCAGAGGTGGGGGGGGGAAACCCCAGAAGAATATTCTGGGGAATCAGGTAGGGACTGAAAACCCAATCCACAGGTGGCCAGGGCAGGAATCGAACCTGGGTCACTGTGGTGGAAGGCGAGGAAAGTACCGCTACGCCAACCTGACTCCCCATAAATGCGGTAACGTGTCATATTTGCAAAACAGAAATCTTCTGGCAAATAAAACTTATGGTGTTTTTTTGGGTGTTTTTCCGGCATTACTTAGAAAAACTACATACCACCTGAGGGTGAAAATCTGGAGAAGATTCGTGTGTATTTCCATCAGCTAGAAGAGGCCTACTCGCCCATCAAGAAACTGCAGCATCTACTAGACATAGTCAGGACTGTCTATGACACGGTAAGACATTAACATCATCAGGAATTCCTCTTTACAAAGCTTCTCTCTTTTTCTTGTGACTTTTGTCAAAAGAGGCGCCGAATTCTCCTTTTATTACTTGAATAGCTACCAATGCCTCCTCTCCTTTCAGATTTTTATTTTTTTGGAGGAATCTTGTCGAGTTTTAACAATCAAACAGCTGGAACAGATGTTGATTTGTCCTCTTTTTTGTATTCACAAAGTCCGACAGGAGTTTGCCTGCTGTTGGATCTTGTTTGGTTCCGCATGGTCTGGCTGAAAAGTCAAGCTACTATAGGTTTATTATTTTTTAGTGTCGGTGATTGTATTTGATAGTTGCAGAGTATTCTTTTGATATTTTGTTTGCAACAAAAACTAAAACTGTGTCGCAGCAAAAGAAATGCACAAATGGGAACCTCAATCAGGGAGCGAATTGGAATCTTGAGCTCAAATTGCAGCCGGCTAGATTCATGAGTTTTTACTATTTTGGGCTTTTTGTTTGCTTTTTTTCCCCTCCAGGTGGTTGACCAGAACTCCGGCCGGGGCCAAGCGGTTCAGTCCATGGGAGCAGACGGTAAAAATATTAACTAGGAATTATATCCCCCCCGTCTGTTTATTAAAATTGTTTTAATGCATGTTCCTTATACCAATCAGGCCTGTGACATTGGTGTGAGTGCAAATGCCTTATACATGTATTTATGGGCATTAAGGTTCCTAAGCTTGTCTGCATGGCAAAATTGGATTTGAAATAAACATTTTATGAGAAACTTGGATCTCAAATTGAAATCTCGAAAGATCTTGGCAAGATCCTGACTCCAACAAATCAGTTTACCTGACGTTGAATGTTGACACCAAATTATTTCCTTATCCATTCATTAAACTTGGTGGCTCTCCATAGGCCCATTGATAGACTTGCAATGTTTGAAATTTCAATTTTACAATTGATAAAAATTCACGATGCATTGAAATGTCTTGGACTGAAAATCTAAACTACAAGAATTTCTCTGACTACTTCCCTGGCAGAATTATGATGTTAGACTTTACCAATTTTTTTTTTTTGGCCAAGTTAAACACAGTACTTGTAATTGAAGATGGTTGATTGAAATGAAACTCACTTATGCAATTATGGGCATTAATTCGTTCTTGTTATTAGAATGCAGATGGAAGAACTAAATTTAAGGAAAAAGAAGGTGCACAAATTTGAAGATTTTTGGTGGCAACTGATTGAATCCGACTTTTTTTCGTCTTTGTAGATTTCCTTCCAATGTTCATTTACGTGTTGGTCCAATGTGAGGTAGTCAACATTGAGATTGAAGCTGACTACATGTGGGGACTGCTAGAGCCCACAATGTTGTCTGGAGAAGGAGGCTACTACCTCACCACCCTCAGCAGTGCAAGTGAGTTAATTCTTTGTATTAGTCTTGGCCTCAAGGTTATCATTATCTTTCAGGTCAATTATATGGCAAACATGGAGATAACATAAACAACTGGCCATAGTTAAGAAAGGTTTGGTAAATAGTTCTTTGTGTGTATGCCGTTTGTGCAGAGAATATACATGCATGGGCCATGGCAGTCAGGTTCCCAGAATGCTCTATCTTTCCTTGACATTTTATGTGTGTGTGTGACAGAGATAAGCTGTCATCAGAGTCCTTAGATAGTGTGGAAAGTACCTCGGAATGCCCAATTGTGAGTCCTTTTACTGGACTATGGTCTAATACAATTCTCTCTGATAACAAAACCAATGATTCCTCAAAAGTGCAGAGACACCCTAGTTCGCCGAATGCCTGGCTGAAGAGTGAACACAGTGATAAAATGTTCAGTGTAATGAAAAGCGGGAAAATCCCAGGATCCGCATGGGTCATTCTATAAATTTGGGGTCCACTTTTTTCCTGTCCCTGTAAAATCGGACATCTATGATTTTATAATTCTGATGCACTCCGTAAAATGCAGAAGTTCTCAAAGAGTGATTGTGATTATGAAGAACAAACTGTGAAGTCATTTCTGATGATATTTGAAGTTCAGAGTTCACAGGGACAGGAAAAATTTCACAATTTGGATTCAAAATTTAAAGACTCAGATTTGAGGGGACTTGAAGCGGGGACACACACTCTTGTTTTACTATACTCTCGAGGACAGTGCTTTGTGTTTGCCTTTGTCCCTGTAATGTAACACTCTCCCATCGAGTAAGCACACGAACCTACCGCAGAGGACTGTTTGGAACAAAAGACCCAACTCCCGAGGACTGAAATGATCTGTTGTTCTCCCTTTGTGTGTCTGTCCTCGGGGGGTTATGTAGAACACGTACACACAGGTAGGAGGTGTGTCAAGTACCCAACCTGATTCCCTTCATTTTCTCTGCGTTCAGTTTGTGTCTTGAAGCAGTTTGAGCAGGAGAACCTGTTCACAGAGACCAAGGGATTCCTGTCAGTCATGGTTGCCGTGGGCGATACGGAGGATCACGTAGTTCACAAAACGCTGCCTGTCCTTCCGGGAATGAACGCTGGCGATGTCTGTAAGTTGCTGAAGAAATCTTTATTTAGTTGGAATGATTGACTGATTTCAACTTCTATAGGCTTTTATTTCACTCTTTGGACTCAAGTACCTGCAAACCATAGATGGACTGTGTACTTTATGCAAGAGTACAAGCCCTGAGTGTCTTTGTCAAGGAATCCTTGCGATTGTGAGCAAAGTGGCAGTCAAGTGCTGTCTTGCTTTCTTGTCAAAAGACAGATATGGGCACTGAGTCAAAAAAATGTCAAGTTGTATAATTTGGTGGGTTTGTTTGGTGGTAAAGTTTTTCATGTTTCATGTTTTAGTTCTTGTGTTTTCAGCGCATATCCATATGTTAGAAATATCTGGTATATTTTAAAACTGAACTTAATGATGTTGTGCTTGTGTGTTTCACATTCACTCCAGCGGTGATGTGATACAATGTTTGTTACCTGTGAATATGCTGAGATACCAGTTGTTTAGATTCTGTTTTATGATTGGGTTTAATTACCTTTTTTTTTTTTTAATGTTCCAATTATAAACTATGTTCAGTTTTTTCTCTTTGGCAAAAATGCCTATAATCCTGATTACTCATTGACATTAGGTTTTGATGACTCCTGATGACGAGCAGAGCATACTGTTAGAAACGTGGAGTTAAACCAACTGGTTCTTCTCAGAACCACACAACTCACAAAGAGATATTATTCACATGGTGCTCCCGCATGTCCACCATGCAAACCTTTAAAGGGAATATACAACATTTGCAAACAGCGAAAAATAAAACTTCCAAATTTTTGTGAAAAACCTCACTACGATGTTGGTAAATAACAGTCTAAAGCATCCTGTAAAGTTATGGCTTCTGGTGTGAAGTCATTTTCAAGAAAAGTGGTATTTTTGTATAAATTCCCAACGGTGGTCGGCCGACCATTGTTGGAAAAACCCAACTGTTTTTCAACTACTGCTCTAAACATACCAATTTTTTCCAGTCGAAATTTTGTTTGCTATTGGTTACATGTTCATGAACGGGTGCAGGCCAGCTAGACTGGTTCCCTTACCTTACAATTTTTCGGGCATCTATAAATTGATCCATTTTATCTTTAGTGGAGTCAGGGAACCAGACTACTTGAACACTTTTGTTTTTCTTGGTTTTTCCAGCATTTTCGAACACAAAACTTCAAACATGTCAGTGTAACAATATTTGATCTATTATACTAACCCCTCTAATAGTTCATTTTCTGAAAATTACAGCAAAAGCCAATGATGTACATTCCCTTTAAGTCGCATTTGATATTAGGTTTTGTAAAGGAAAGGTAAATACATGAGTTTTTGTTCTTTTTCTGTATTTTACAGCTCGTATTCTGGCTCATAAGATGAAGATTGATAATGCTCACTTGTACCAACTCTACTTAATTACAAGAGAACAAGGTAAGGCCATCAGACTGGTTGGAGAAGTCTCTTTGCATGGAATCACTTTGAACTAGATTGGTGCAAAGCGATGTTCATTTCCCAAAGCGCTAAATATCACCCTCTCTGCAGTATGGCAAATCTTGATATTTTTGGTTGAAATGTCTTGATTTATTGAATTTGGGCGTTTCACAATGCAGTGCGCCACCAAGAGTTTGCCACGGAGTGTTCATTTTTTTCCGGTGCATTGTGGGAAATGGTCGACAAATTCGCAGCGCGGGACATTTGAAATTGTTAGTTTTTTCCAGTCAGTACTTTCGTAAGCATGATTCGAGTATCTGTTTGCCCTTTTCTTTTCTCTTTATAAATGTGGAGTTTTTTTTGTAAGGCGGCAGAACGCTATGCCCCAATCTATAACAAATTAGCTCAAGTTGTCTACTGACACTCATTCAAATGGGCCATGTTTTGTCGACCGTAAACTTCAATAATGGACTCTCCATGGCAAACTCTTGGTGGCGCACTGCATTGTGAAACGGCCGAATTGAAATAATAATTGATATCCTGTCTGAGGGATCCCTGACTGCCATTTGGTTGAACTCACTAGCCCATGTTACATGCATGGGGCTCTGACTAGTGTCCACATTTTAAAAATTGCCACGTTAGGAGGCAGCTAAATAGGGCTTTGATAGCTCCATTGTTATCACACCAATATGGTCTTTCAGGAGTCAGGTTCTTTTTCCGTTGGTGCTTTTTTTCGCTCAGTTTATTTACTCTATTTCCACTCAAACTTGATTAATTTAACAGTGCACCATGGCTGTTCCCCTGGCCCTGTGATTTACGTGATAATCTAAAAACAAATGTTTAGAGAACGCAAAAGCATCCAGTACAACTTTTCCAGTGTGATGTTTGTCATTTTCAAATTCAAATCGGATTGTACGACAGCTCCATTACCCCTATCTTTCTAAGGGGGAAAAAGTTATCTGGAAAACATAGCAGTTGATGCAAGGTCGCATTGTTGCCTATTTTAATGGTATTTGTAGACCAGAAAAAAGTGTTACAATTTGGTTCATATTGGCGTGTTAAAGTAAGGAAGTTTTTTGTCTTTTTTTTTGTCTTCATTTTTTTAAAACAGATATACCAATAGGCGACAACGAATGTCCTCTAGAGATGAAGGAGAATGATGCCGGTCTGACCAGACCCTGCTTCGGTTACAAGATAGAAAACCGACCAGTCAAATGGTTCCCTAGAACCCTACCCTCCTGAACCGGCCGGGACATTGCGAGCAAGTTCCATCAAAAACTGTAGCTAACCATACTGTGACTTACTTCTATCAACTTCTGCTAGTCGATGATGGTTAATTGTGCTAGTCCAGTGGAGTATTCAGGATGGTTGGTCACATTGCTGGCAAACCCAAAAGCACATGTACTATATTGTATTACATTGTACTACATTGTATTACATTGTATTAATTCCCTGATGAAGCCATAAAACCATAGAGTGCTCGGACATTTTGGAGTGGTTTAGGGCGGTACCGGAAGTAATGGGCTAACCATAGTCGTGCATACTCTAATGTACAGTAGAAGTCCATGCAGTTTAATGGCATTTGATCATGGTTTGACTGGACGTTGCATTACAATATTGATGTGCAGGCAGAACATACGTCAACCATCAACCACTAACCAACGGTCCCTAATGAAAGTTGCTCTTTAATGAAAATCTTGCCTTGAATGTACAACTCAAACATGCCACCATGGTTAAAGAATTGAAGAATTTTGAAAGGATATATGTGGGAAAAAAGGAAATATTTATCGATGGTATCAATAGGTTAGGGACTTTTATGAAAGAAATCTGATAGTACAGGACAAGTTGACATTTCACATTGTTATTCTCCATTCAAGTTGTTAATTTTTTTTTTGGGGGGGGGACATTTATTTTATTCTTTTGACTCAAGTGTCAAAACAACAGATGAAACCCTGTGTCTTACTCATGAGAACCAGTGCGTGAATTTCATGGGATGTGTATGTGCACCAGTTTGCACGCATGTGGCACACGTTACTCATGAGCAATCCTCATCTGAAAGTGCACTGACCATGAAGTTGTAGTCTCCATTCAAGTTGTTAATGCTCCAGTGCTTATCACAGTGCACAATGTTAAGCCAAGCCTTGTAGCGTGTGCACTAAAGACGAATTGGAATAAGACTAATCTAAACAAGAATTGCAGACTACATGTATTTCTAACATGTAGTTTGCATTCGGTGATGTAAATTCAACATTGGGTTATGCTAGCAACCGACGTTCGAGTCCCACCCGAGTAGTTTGTGTTTTTGTTCTCACAAATACATAAGCACACAAACAACACTGGGTAGGCATTACATTCACTGTGTGGACTTCCGAACAAAAGAGGTCCACATAAAACAGGTAGAGGCGACGTTGTGTGGACTTAGGCAAGTCCACACAGTGTTTCCCCATTTCTGGAAAACAGGTTTAGAGGCATTTTGGGGTTAGCTTTATCTATGGCAAAATGAAGAGAAACACTAAAGGGGATCATAGAAAAACAATTTGGGTTGAAAGAGTTTTCACAGGTTGAGAAAAGTGAGTTTTTTCACTGGTTTTTCTTAACTACACGAAACCAAGGGAATGTCCACACTTGGTATGTAACGTAAACATGTGTGAGTATACATTGTTATAAAATTTGTCGGTGACCGGCAATACCCAATATAGAAACACAGCAGAGTTGAAAACCCCCCTTGGCTTTGCACTTTTATTTAAGAAAGGTTCATTTAGCCAGTGTATACAAATTCCCTTGATAAAAATTTATCCTGTAGTCTTTTTTCCTGTGATGATGCAAAGCTAGGTAATGTGATTTGGGAAGGGGAATTTCAAAATGACTTTCATCCCATCCCTTATTAACAGTATACCGAGCAGAGCTGCTTAATCAACAGCCAAGGGAGGTGTGTACCGCCCTCTTGTGAGGAAAATGGCTGCTTTGGGATTTTCCTGTTAACTTTTTGAGTATGGAATTATTCCTGTAATTAAACAGAATTAAAACAATAGACTTTGATGTTCAAACCAATATAATGGCTGTCTATCTCTAGTGACCGCCATTTTGAGCAGTATGCAATGAGTTATATTAAACAGGTTCAGCAGAGCAACTGTTGAAAACAGTAACTTGCGCTAGTGGGATATGTTTTTAAGAAGTCAAATTTGCTACATTTTCATCCATAATGTTAATCTAACATTGTGTCTTTGCTTGCAATCTTGACTGTGAAATATTCATGATTATTGATGATTATTGCTGAAATTTTATATATTGTAAAATACATGTTACCAGAGGCATCGTTCCCTTTTGGGATGTTTGCTGTGATACATAATTTAAAACCAAAGAAGTTTTATATGTAAGACATTTTTCCAAACATTTTTATATATATATATCTATAGCCCTTTTATTACCAAAAGAATCATTGCAATTTATGAAATGGTACTGGACAGACACTGTTCTTATAAATGGCATTATGCAGATTTTCATTTTAAAAAGTTGTTTCTATCATTTTTATTTAAAATTCAGAATTATTGTGAGATCTTCAGATGTAGGTTGTTGGGAGTTGTTTTTATATTCTTTGCAACTGCAGTTTCCGAATGATTTAAAAAGGTTTAAAAAAATGAAATAAATACAATTTTGGAGGATTCCTGTTTTGTCTGTCAAGAAAAATTAGCATTTTTTAGTGGATAGTTGTGATGTGTTCTTGCAAAATAAGACAGAACTGGGCCATAACCAAGAAAACGGCAATAATAATAAAACAAATTAAAAAAATTGCAAACTTTTGTGTTCGTACATTCAATTACAAAACAGCACTGTTATCTTTACAGCTCTCTGAATCTCTTTGAATCCGAAATTGTATATCCCCCCCCCCCCCCCCCCGACCCCTCGCCCAGTTCTATCTGATTTTGCAAGAAACATGTCAAATTTATAGTTTTGGATAAGACCGTCGGGTACGGAAACCCTAAAAGGACATTCAAAAATAAAAAATTAAGTTGGTGTGACGGAATTGATTGATTCCCAAATTACTCACACTTTGCATATTCTAGGTGATACTAATCTCGGCCAATTATCTCATGCGTACAATATGATATATCTTGTGCGCATGAGATATTTGGGTTTTTTTTAATGTCCCTTTAGGGGCTCTGTATTCGGGAACAATGTACTGAATATTGTACAATTTTGAAGGTCAAGCCATTCAATCCAATATTGTCAAACAATGAACTGATGTTTTCAGTAAAGTTCAAAGTAGACAACTGTTTTTTCTTTGACACTGTGTTTGGTGTGTTTTTTTAATAAAAGTTTGAAGAATGGAAAATCTTTGTCCAGTCATTTTGTGTCTCCTGGCTTGAAAAAATACTAATAAAATGACTAATCAGAGCCTTTTGAGGTGGAACAAGACTTGTAAAGCTATTCATCTTAAAGTTGCGTACTCCATGCTCTTCAAAAAATGAGTTGTAATTTGTATGTTTTGTTTTAGTGAAAAAAAATAGAACTTTGGGCGTCTGCATCCCTCTGAAAAAGGGATTTCATTTTGCGCACGAATAAACCTGTCGTGTGAGAGCCGAATTACTGTCCAGCAGCCAACAATTCAAATTTTGGGAACAAATTAATAACTAAATGTCTGTGGATTTGTTCAGTCGATGTCGCATTATCCCCTGGCTTTTAAGCCAAGAAAGTGGGATCTTGCAATAGTGTATTATGTGTGTGTTCCATTTTGATTAGGTTAATATGAAAAGTCAGACTTCACTGTCAACCAAACTTGGCGACAATAATCTTTGGGTAGGGTGACTTCAGATGATTTGAAACATGTGAGGTCAAAGGTCATCTAGGGCTCAAACGAGGTCATTGTTTTTGGTTAGGTCAAATGAAAAGGCAGACTTTACTCTCAACCAAACTTGACAATAATCTTTGGGTAGGGGGACTTCGGATGACTTCAGACATTTCAGATCACCGTCAAAGGTCATCTAGGGGTCAAATGAGGTCATTGTTGATTTGGGTTAGGTACCCTGAAAAGTGTGCTTACTAACTGACTGTATAAATACTGCCAACATGCAGGAAGATTTCGCAAGTTTAACTTTTTGGAGTATTGTTTTTACACTGGCATCAAGGATGAGAAAATACCTGTGGGGTGAAATTAGGACTCCTATGAAATATGGACTCAATGACTGTATCATCACAACCTCGTCCCCAGGGTGTCGAGCAGTACGCGCCCACCACTAGCTGCTCTCTCACCCTGGTATTGGATCATTTGCATGTGCAAGATTTTTGAACACGTATGCAAATGAGGAGTAGTCTGGTGCCTGCATGTGCGTTACATTAGCGCTTGTTTTGTATGCGGTGTCTGGGGTAAAAACAGAGTCAATTCGTTTCAGCGCGAGCATGGCGTGAGTTACGAAAACACGATTTATTCAATTAAACTGTTACATTTTTATCGAAACAACATGCAGTATCACATTTCACATTAATATGAACAAATTGGAAAGGAAATGAGTATTTTCGAGAAGGCGTGGACGAATGATCGCGAAAACATGTACTGCACGTTTTGAATAACACCACCAAGTACACGATAAAATCCATTTCTAGCCAATTGAGGTATCCAATCAGGATACAGGAAGAAAGTTTCCTATCCAGGGTTTACTATTGGAAACGCGGTTGGAAATAAAGTAAGCACTGGGGACGAGGTTGGTATCATCATGGCTCAGCGAGCAAACAAAGGGAATCACACTGACCAGATTTCATAGGAGTCCTTATTTTATATGACACCGGGAAGCAAGTGGACACTGTACATACACTAGGCTTGCTTAATTTTATTGATATTCTGGTGCATAGGGCAAGCAACAAGCGTTCAACTTGAAATTATAGGGAAAAAATTACAGAAAATAAAAAAGCATTGCATGCTCACATGTATCACATTTCCCTTCAGGGAATAAACAAATCTGAATCAAAACTATGTGAAACTTTCTGCTTATAAAATGTTAGACTTCTTACAGAATATAAGGGCATTGAATCAGATAATTGCTTTGCAATTAATTTTATCTTATATTTTTCGCAAAATGTTTTTGAGCATTTTTCGCAAAATGTTTTTGAGCATTTGAACTAGATGCCTCTCAAACTTGAGAAATCATTCAAATTGTTCAAACTGTTTGTCAGTTAATGAAATAGTTTTAACTCAACTTAAAAACACTAAATAGTTTCACAAATGTTCTGCTTTGTTATGCATTAAATAAAATTTCTACACTATATTTTCTGCTCAACAATTCCATGCAATTTAAAGGTTGTTGGGGCATCTATATAAAATATCTGAAATACTACACAAATAAAACATGGTTTGAGGGTTGATAGTCGATATTAGCTCCCCTCAGTATTGGAAGTTGACAGACTAGTTTCCTCGACTTCGCCTCGGGAACTCCTCTGTCAACTTCCAATACCGAGGGGAGCTAATATCGATGATCCACCCGAACTAAACCATGTTTTATTTGTTTGACTGTGCCTCATACATATTCACAATAATTCCATGAAGTTATGCTTAAGTTTTCTCGGTAAATGTTGTTGTGCCCCATCTTTTCATGTAGCTGCTGCATGTTCGCACGTGCGCATGTTCACACGTGCACACTACCCCCGTGCGCTAGTTCCACGATTGCTTCATGAAGCACATGCGTAGTAGACTAGCGCACTGGTAACCAGCACGATAGTCTACTAGGCATGTATACTTAACCTGTGCGTGAAACCGTGCGCGCTTGGTAAACAGCAAAACTAGATGCTGACACGTGATGGTGAATGGACCAGTGAGAACTCGGCTCTAGATCATGAATATGTATGAGGTATAGTAATTTCCCATAGCTCATTTGAATTTAAATTAAATATAGAAAAAAGGCACAACATTAACATACTAAAATTTATGATGGACTTTGCTCCAAAGTTTGGATATTATTCTAATTTCAAAAATAATATCAGATAGTAACAGCAAAGCAAATCACAAAGGTATTGTTTCTCTGACAGTAAAACAAACGTACCACTTGTAATTGTTAAAGGCTCAAGGAGAATATAAACAAAGTTATCGTTTGATTTTCGAAAGACTTCTTTGTTCCCAAACTTAATTCCTTCATTGAAGATTCTTCATTTTATCAATGAAAGATTTAATCAAGAAATGCAATTTCAAATCAAAATACTAAATTGCTCTTGATAAAAACAAGATAAAAGAAAATGTTATAATGCTGTCTCATCCACAACAGCCACCATTATAGATCATTTACATCTCTCTTGATTTAGAATCAAGTAAAGATTTTAAAATTTGGATAATTGCGTTGTTTCACCCCAAAAAACCCCAGATGTGTCAGCATCACCAAAATAAGGTAAAAAACACCAAAAAAACATACAACCAAAACAAAGATGCAACAATAGCACATGCAAGTTATTTAATCACATTTTACATGATTTTCATGATAACCCTTATACAATTAAATAAAGCACACATTTTGCAATATTTAGTAATTTGACGTCATATGTTGACCACAACACAGTTATTTCATTAAATTCTTGCAAGAAATTTCAAAGACTTTTATCGATGCGCACTGAAAATAAAAAAAAATCCATGTCTTAAAGCGTAACATCTGTAACGGTCGTTTGCAGCACTTAATTCAGCTAACAATGCATTAACCATGTCATGTACCGAATAAAGAAAATTCTCTTTCACTAAAAGTATTTTATTTTTTTTTGTTTCAACTTGGTTTTAGGCTCTGAATGTAACGTCCGTAACGGTGGAATTGCCCATAATACAACTGAACACTTGAGAGTTGGGGGGGGGGAGAGAAAGATTTCATACTTGTCATTGTTTCATACGTCACTGTTACATCCAATGCAGGAAATAGGAACAAAAAAATGGTCAACGTGATTGATAAAAGTCATGAAAATACAACCTTCCAATTTTTCGTTGTCATTAATGCAATCATCCTTCAAATGTACTACAATGTACTTGTTTTTGTTGACTCTACTTTAAAGTCATGATGTATTACACACAATGAGCATCTTGCTTGGCCGACATCAACGCTTTACAAGTATTTTTTACTATAACTATAATCATGGGATGACAATCTAACCAAATTCATGGGAAAGTGATTGCAGATATCCTCTTGCCTGTTAGCACGCTGGCGGCAAGACACGGGATGCCTGGATTTCTCTACTCCTGGGAGGGCATAACTGTCTCCACCTTGGGGGGCAGAGCCGTCTCCACCTTGGGGGGCAGAGCCGTCTCCACCTTGGGGGGCAGAGCCGTCTCGACCACGCTGAACTTGACGCCATGCTTGTCAAGTCTCTCGATCAAACTAGTCCTGGAGAAAGCTGCTGCAGGGGAGAACACACCACCACTGGGGATAAAAAAAACCCTATATTTACAGTGCGTTCAATTTTAGCAAGATCAGAAAGAAGAGAAAAATACAGGGTGAGTCAAAAAAAGCGAAACCCAAATGTTGGGTCCATTGTCTTAGTGAAGTTCTGCATGTAGCACTTTCAAAATCTGGGATAAGAAAGCCCAATTCACAAGCTTTTTTTTACTACACGAATCATTCCAATCACTCATGTAATTTTCAAGTTACGGAATTTTAAACACAACCACCGTTTTACCGTTTTAAGGTTCTGTCCACGGATCACAAAAAGGTTCAGTATTCTTTCAGCAAAACGAAAACAAATCACATAGGAATGTGTGTGAATTGTTTTTGTTTTGCTGAAAGAACACACACTATGTTTGTGATCCGTGGACAGAACTTTAAAATGGTGGTTGTGTTTAAAATTCTGTAACTTGAAAAGTACACGAGTGATTTGAATAATTCTTGTACTAAAAGAAAGCTTATGAATTGGGCTTTCATATCGTATATGTAGCAAGTGCTACATGCAGAACTTCACTAAAAGAATAGTCCCGACATTTGGGTTTCGCTTTTTTTTTACTCACCCTGTACATAAATAAAAGCAATAACATAACATGGACAAACATACAAAATGTACTACTTCAACACACAAGACGGAACTGATTCAAATCTCAAACCAAGATACCTCTGCCATTATGTTTGTTAACATGCTATACAACTTCGTACATTTTGCTATAGATATCTCTCAAAATACTCCACAAAAATTCTAAGCCTGACTCACATCTATTAGGTTACAGTAGATTGCAATTGAAAGTTAACACTGCGAATGGGAATGGGTAATTTTGTGAAAAGAATGGAGGCAGTCCAGTCTCTGGGACCCAGAGGTTTAGTCTTCACAATGGACTATTATATTCTTCATGACAAAGGACCAGTTTTTAACCGTTATTTCACCTTGCAGGCATATCATCCTTCTCCTTCAAGACCACAAGGCCTGCTTGCACCATCACAATTGGTGTGGCCACGTACCCAGGCTCTGTAAAAACAAACAATCATGTCAAACACTAAGCTTCGTTTGAAAGGAACTCAACTGCTGTGGCTATCCTTGTGTGCTCCTCATCTGTCTCAGACGAGTGTGGGGAAAAGCCCTCAATAAAAAAAATCCAAGAAAGGACCTTTCAAATTGGATAAAGATACAATCAGAGCTGCGGAAAACACCACAAACTACTAAGCTTTTTCTTATATAAGGCATAATAGAGTTTATGCTGTCATGACCATGCTACAGCGCGTCCCAAAATACCCGCAATTGTTGTTGTTTTTTGCGAGGTTCTAGCGTCGTCGCGGAAACACGTACCTCCATTATATTTTATACCAGTTTAAAGCTCGGAATCTTAGCTTTATCCCTGGCGAGTATTGGTTTGATATTTAACAGAGTTTTAAAATTATTCGTGTTCAAATAAAGGCATGTCGAAAACAAGCTCAACCGATTTCAAGGAAATTGATGATGCAGTATATCAGATGCCAACTCGAATCAACGAGCTGTTGAAATAACAAAAACAAACAGTTGATTCATTAAAAACACATTGAACTTGAAACAAAGAACAATATTGTGAATTTATTTAAGGTGTGGTCTACGTGGACCAAACAGAAAGTAAAAGGCAACGAGATCGTCACATCATGAATATGATGGAGCATTTCCATATTGGAAAGAATGCGCATGATTGATTTTCCTTGAAATCGGTTGAGTCTGTTTTTGACATGTCTTTATTTGAACACGAATAATTTGCATGGTTATTATTTATTTGAACACGAATAATATCAAAACCCTTTTGAGTACCAGGGATAAAGTTAAGATTTTAAGTTAGAGCCTCGCAAAAAAAGTTGCAGGTATTTTGGGACACGCTGTAATACTATGCAGCCACAATAAGCATGCTTGCAAAACCAAATCATGTCATGTACTGGAGCAAAGTGGTCTGGTGGGGGGCCTCTGGTCACGTACATGTTCCTGGGGGTAAATCCAAATCCTAACTAAAAAATAATGTTCTACCTCCAAGTAACCATTAACGCATGTCCTACATTGTATTACATTGTGTTTAGTCACTGAAGAATCAGTAAAACCTTAGAGTGCTTGGGTGGTTTCGGGCGCTACAGGGAGTAAAGGGTTAAGCTTTCCAGTCATCAGTCAAATGGTGTGTAAATCTTCAAAGATTGCTAAAATTCATAAACTTATCATTCATTTTGGGAAGGGTGGTGGGGGAGGGAAGGCATGTGAGGGATAGCGGCAAAACTTGTCTCACCTGGCCCGGTTACCTTGGTTACCATACTGACATCATGAGTGGTCTGCTCCTCGTCGGCACCGGCACTGAATCCCTCGGCATTTAGCACAAAGCTGAATGTGCTTGCATCCATCTGCTCGCGGGTAGGTCCCTCATGGCTGAACAAGCCACCAGTAAACAACCTGGGGTACTGAGGACGGGAATAGTGCATTGGGAAATGGACAAATGAAAATCAAAGAAGAAAATCTGATCTTATCACATGTGACCTTTCAATACAATTGACAGGTGGGGAATTGTGGGGCTAAGCCCAAATTTGAAGGGGTGGTTGGTTGATTTGTTTTCAAGTACATTTCAATCTGTAAGTCCAGTTGTCTTTGTTCCATCAAACATTTTAATCCCATTTTATAAGCTGACTGTGCATTCACTGGAACACAACGGCAGGACTTTTAGATGGCATTTTCTCAAATATTACTTGTACAACTTTCGCTAGTGGCATTTTTCCGTTACTGAACTCAGTATCCCCATAGGTTATATACCACTGCAAAGCTCTTGTTCTTCAGAATCCAGTAATAAAAATATCTCAATACTCAAGAAGTCCTTTCAACCAGACCTTTGAAATAGGATAAGTAAACAATCCAAAATATGACATTTTGGGGGGATTTCAGGCCGTAACGCCCCTTTAACCCTAACTCCCTAGCATCTTTTACTAGGAACTGTACCAAGTCCATCAAAATCCATCAATCACTGTGCGTCCAATACAAAACTGTACATGACATAATGGAATCCACCACTGACGCACTGGTTGACATTCATGGACTTGCTACACATTGCTTAATCACAATAGCAGTACAGGAAGCTAGGCAAAATCAATGGGATACCCCTAGCACTGCTTCAGGCCATTAGACCCAAGTCCATCATACTCCATCAAAATTTAGTCATGCCAGGCCTCCTAGGCCAAGTCCCCCAACATCCACCAATATGGGGGATGGATTTTGATGGAGTTGGGGTGGTTAGGGTTAAGCACCTTTAAGCCTTTAGATTTTGAGCACTTTTGTTGCTTCAAACGAAAAAAATGCACACATCATGACAAATGGTCCATTCTACCTTTAACCTGCAATGTATTCTGTAGGCGTACATGTATGTATTTGGCAATGTATTCTTCTTGCCCTCACCTTTTCCAGTAACTTTCTCCCAAAGTTGAATTTGGCCAAGAAGGAGAAGATGATGCCGAAGAAGAGGACCATCATGAGGGCAAAGAAGCCACCGATCTCAGCGTAGGCGCCATACTGGACCTGGAACAAATAAGTCACGAATGAAGTACAAATGCAATGGGCTTCGCACACGGTGACCCCAAGGAGAGCTTCGTGTGAGGAACACACTGGTATTTTTCATCGGATTGTGCAATGATGTTCAAGTTCTCTTTTTGTCACCACAAAGGGGGTTATTATGAATGAAGTACACTGTATGCAGCTGGTCATATTATACAAATATTAACTGCTTTGAGAGGCGAGGTAAAACTAGCCTCCCGAGGTGACCCATGGAGCAGTCCATTTTCCCGAGGCGATAGTCGAGGGAAATAGAACTCTCCATGGATCACCGAGGGAGGCTAGTTTTAATACACCATGAGTTAAAGCAGTCAATATTTGTTTTATAACGCCTCACTCACCGATTCTGCTTGATTTTAAGAGTTAACTAATTAATTTAAGCAAAATCCAATTAAAATGGACTTCTATTTCAACATGAAATTAGTTGAAAATTTAGTTGCATTTTCTCCAAACTACATGAAATGAAATGTATGTCCCCAACTCTGTAGCGTTTAGGAGCAAGCAAACCTGTGTGCATGTGCACACAGACCTGTAGTTGCTACATTGGTTTCTATGCAAATAGTATTTTTCAGACCGAGGCAGCCATTGTATAGTCTTTTTGGCTGTACAAAGTAGGATAGTAAAAAAGAGCAAATGCCATGTGACTCACTCTTGGCCAATCAAGATACAGAATCTGTGGGTGAGGTGTTATGGTCTATGTTTCTCCCTTCCACTGATCTATACATAGGTTTTCAGCTTGTGCCCTGGCCATACAAACGCCCTACACTGTACAGTCTGGACTGTCAGTCTGAATGGTTTACTGTTGCAAAACACCTGTAAGATTGATGTGAGTTTAATTAGCTTTGCATGGTGGAAAGTGTAACTCTCTTTGTAAATGTGGTTCTGGCAATACCCCGGAATATCAACTTTTGTGACCATGATCTACGAATTTGCTTCCAAAACTCACTTACAAAGAGAATCATAAGTCCGAAGTTTGAATCTGGATTATCACAGGTCTGTCACAAGTCAATCACAAGTCAAATCCCATATCCATCACAGGTCGAATCATAACCCAGGTCACATGTAATTAGTATCAGGATATGAACAACACAAACAACCTGTGTAACAGGTCACTTGAAAAGCTTGTGACTTGACTTCAGACTATTGGACTTCTGATCAAAGTTTGATGACTTGTGATCTCTTGCCTACAAAAATGAAAATTGTTGGTATATTTTTGGCCTACGCTGTGTGTCCCCGGGGGTGAAAGGGTTCATCTTTTCTTGCCGCCTTACCGGTCGTTCATCGTTGTTCTCATACAGAAAGCGTTGTGACCTGCGGACGACAGACGCATCTGAGCCAGGAAACACAGTGCACCACTTCTTGGTCTTCTCACTGTAAAATACAGCTCCTCTGAAAGATGATAACAAAAATACATGACTCTTATTTGGTCCAGAAGAAAAGAGACTACCTAACATTTCAATCTTAGCAAACTATTTTCTTTTGTTCTTGAGAAACAATTTGCTTGTATAAAAGTGTCAGGCCCTTTCATTTTTGTGATTTGTACATTTCAGGTCAATCAAGTCAGTATTAAAGCAGTTTGCAACAGCCTTTTCTTTCTCCCTCAAAGGAAACAGGTCATCGATTTCATAACGTTGCGTTCCCTGTGCTTTTTCTGTTAACCCTAACTCCCTACTTAGTTTTACAAAGCAGAAGACCATGTCCATCAAAATCCATCACTCATTCTACTTCACATAATGCTTCAGGACCAAATCCATTGAAATCCACCACTGGTGTTGATGGATTTTGATGGACTTGGTACACTAAACATGGCTTAACTGCCTAAATCCCCAAAAATGGGGGGGGGGGGATTTTGATGGACTTGGTAAGGTTAGGCTTAAAGCTATAGTCCATCATTTGTAATTAGTGCATTTTGTTCGTTTGAAGCAAGAAAAGTGTTCAAAATCTAATGAAGGATACTGAGCAACTAACCTGATGAAGTTTCAGCTAAGCTTCAGCTGTACATTCCGAGAAAAACAGCATTCTAAGATCTCAATTTCAAATCAAAAGTTACTGAATCATGTTTTGAATTGTTTTGAATTGCAGCTATACGTGACGTCGCGCACTAATCCGACGAATTACAACAACCGCGCGCGCGTGTGCGTCGTTCCAATACTTGTGCGCGCTGCGCTGAATAACAAAACGAACTACTAATTTTAATTTTCCTACGGTGCTTCTTAAGAATCACTGTTGGAAATGCCTTCTTTCGTTGATTACTTCAAAATGACAGCTTCCCAGAAAGAATAATTTCACAGGGAGTTTAGTTCCCTTACTATCTTTCAACCAAGTTTGTTTTTCAACAATAATTACGCCAGTTACTTTTCGGATGGCTGCAAATGATGGACTATAGCTTTAATAAATGTTCAACTTGTATGTTTTAGGCCTATTCCAATCAACTGGTATGTTTTAGGCCTATTCCAAACAAAATCTCCTTTTCCCTTTTTGAATGTCTGTATTACTCTGAAAAAAGATGGTTTTTGCTTTGGGTACAAATGGATCCGTCTTGCGAGCAAACTGGCTACTGGTCTGTACATTATCAATACTGATTGTTGGGAGGGAACAAGCACACATGGCACAAGCATTATTGTCTGGCGGCCAATAAATCAAAATGGAAAAGTAACAATTCAATAACTACACATGGGCCTAGCAGCTCAACAAATCATCATGTCTCTCCGTAGTCCGTTACTTTAGTTAGTAACAAACGTTGACAACGTCTATTGCTCTTACATATTTTGACCGATTTCAACCAAACTTTGTCAAAAGTATCAGTAGACCAGTCTCAACATGTCACATGACCAAAGTGGGGTCAAAGGTCATCATGGGGTCACAGGGTCAAAAACTTCAAAATGTTACTCCTTCCCGAAATTACATGGCACAATCATGGGACTCATGCATGAACACGAATTCGTTGGCCCGCAGCTTCCGAGATCTGGTCAAGCTTGTTTATCAGTGTCTCTTTCAAAAGTGAATAACTTTTATACTGCTAGGAAAATAGCAATTTAAAAAAGAAATATGTTTTTCGGGATAAATTCGAAAATAGCACGGAACATTATCTTTTAAAGGTATAGTCCATTATTTGTAATTTGTGCATTTTGTTCGTTTGAAGCAACAAAAGTGCTCAAGATCTAAAGAAGGGTACTGAACAACTAACCTGATGAAGTTGCAGCTCAGCTTTAGCTGTATATTTCGAGAAAAACAACATTCTAGGATATCGATTTAAAATCTAAAGTTGCTGAATCATGTTTTGAATTGGGCCTGAATTCAGCGTCCGAGACACATTCTCAATGAGCCGATTGCAGCTACGCGATGTCGCGCACTGATCCGACGAATTATAGCAACCACGCGCGCGTGTGTGTCGTGCCAATACTTGCGTGTGCTTCGCCGAATAACAAAACGAACTACTAACGGAAATTTCCAACGGTGCTTCTTAAGACAGGCATTCTTTTGTTGATTTCTTCAAAATGACAGCTTGCCAGAAAGAATAATTTCACAGGCAGTTTAGTCCCCTTACTATCTTTCAACCAAGTATGTTTTTCAACACTAATTACGCCAGTTACTTTTTGGATAGCTGCAAATGATGGACTCTGGCTTTAATGAAAACAAGGATAAAACAGTAACGAGGGCTCTTGCAGCATTCCCAAGAGGATTACACAATCTCTTGTTTGTCGGAACTTTAATTCTACTCTTATCCCCTCCCCAGCCCCTCCTTCTCCTCCCCCGCCCCCTTCCTTACCTCCTCTGAAGCTTTGGGGTATACTTGGGCATCGGCTTGTAGTTGAACTGCTTGCGTAGCTTGGGCAACTCATCAAAGTGAGCGAATCCGTGAATGGCCGACTGGTATGTAGTGAAGTGACCAGCACCACCCTGAACAAAAATTGGTAAAAAAGTATCTCGATCCAGAAACAATCCATTGCATTTGTGAACTAATTTCACAAGGTGAGAAAAACATGTTTGACGTTTTTGGATTTGCCCTGTCAAACGGAACATCTTTCACAATCTGTTAATTGCCAAATTATTAATCCAGACAATATGCATGTACTTGTAAATCCAACTTCAATAGGTAAGTTTACTTTCACACGTTGTATTTATCCATGTCATAATATGTAAAAGAAAAATGCTGCATGTACTTCTCAGACTGATTATTATCTTCTTGATTTCGTGCCATACATGTGACCAACACCAATGTGATTTCAAAAACAAACAGCATCAACGGCAGCCAAAAAGTAATAATGACAGTAGCTACAGCAGCAGATGCAGTAGTAGCAATGCAACAAGCACCAGCGACCAAAACTGACAACAGCAACAGTGGCAGCAGCAATATACCTTTATCATGCTGCCACCATTTCAGTCATGTTCGCTGCCACCATTTCAGTCATGTTCCCTGTATCCAATAACAGTGCTGATTTTTTTGTGTGCAAAAAAGGAACCAGACTATTTTTCCTTCCAGCCTCACTTTGGTTGCGTTGATTTGAATGGGGAAAAAAAATCAAGATGGCTGCGGCATGATGATGTCTACTGTAAGAATAGAGGACGCTATGACTCACAAGCAGTGTTATCCCGGCAAAATCAGAAATGGTGACATGTAAACCTTACCTTTGGGCCTGTGTGATAAGACACAAAGCTTTCCACTGTATTCAAAACACCTGAAGAAATTGCAAAATAGAACCAAAAATGCAAGTATTAGCCGAGGATTCAAAATTTCAGAATGTATCTTTTGGGTATTAAAAGTTTCTTGACAACTTGAAAACCGAAAATGTCAAAGTGGATGGGTTTGAAATCAAAATATGGCACAATGTCACTATAACAAAAATGACGAGGTCCGCAAAATAATGTTCGTTTATACCGGTCATTTGTTATAGCGTTATAGGGAGAATACAAACCTTAAATTGTGAATTCACTCACTGAAATCTTTATTATATATCATTGACGTTTACTGGTAATTTTGTTTGCGTTTTGGTGAATAGCGATGAAGTCATTGCTATCGTGGATACAGTGTTGTAGACAGGTTCCTAGCTATCCTTTGTTATCGAACGTTGTCTTTTTGCGGCGTGGCGGGAACCAGTTTACCAGAACTGCCGATGAGATTTTTATTTTTCTGACATACTATTGCAGTTGAGAGACATTCTCAGTGAGACAAATCACCAATACAAATGCGTTTTCCGAAGAATTTAGAAATGTTCGGTATAACTACAAATATTTCAGGAGCCAAAAGAGGATGCTAATTATAGCCGATTGTTTGGTATAGCTGTGTTTGTTATAGCGGCGTTCCACTGTATAGAGATACTAATTCCCATTTTGGATATATTTGAGATTTTTTATTTCAAGTCACGTTTACAAGGTTCAAATCTCTAATTAAAACTTTACACTCAAGTCAAAACTTTGGAGATTGCCACGAGGATTGTTCAACAGGTGCATACCAGGAAACTTCTTTTTGGTGAAGACTACCGACATATCCGCTGGGATGCTATCAAAGCCGCAGGCACCTACGACAATCACATCAGCTGCTTTGGCTTTTTTATCATAGTTCAGCTGGATGCCTTCCAGAAACTAAAATGAAAGGGGGAAAATGGTGACAAAAGAATGGCCCAGTGTCAAAATTAACTAACTTGCAACACCCCATGACTATTCATTTATATCTAATTTTTAAATTACATTCATAAATACCTGAGGCAGTTTACCCATTCCTATCGGTTGAGTGGTTTTAAAACGCCGATAAAACACAGCTGCATTCTCCGCCACATTACACCGCACGCTAATCTCCATACATGTATAAGGAATATTTAGCACATAACGGGGCACATACCATAGACATGGCCAGAGGGGTATTTCACAAAGCATAAAGTAAAATTGTTGAACAAAATGGTTGGAATTTTGCCCATTTCAGACTTATTTTGACTTTTTGACCGAAAGGTGTTTATGAATGGGAATAAAGATGTGCTTGGCCAGTTTTAAACAAGTACTTTACTGTCCCTCGTCTTCGGCTCAGGCCATGGGCGTCGCCAGGATTTTTTCTAGAGGGGGGCAAAAATGTTTTTTGCCCAAAAATGCTTGTATTTCTCAACACATTCTCGATTTATCACTTTTAGAGGGGGGCAGGGTCATTTTGGCCCCCCCCCCCAACTCATTAAATTTACACCACTTTGTCTTCGCGCCTCTTTTTCTTTTCTTTTTTTTTTTTTTCTTTTTCTTCATTTTTTTTTTTTTTTTTTGGTTGCTTTTCCGGGGGGGGGGCAAGTGCCCCCCCTTGCCCCCCCCCCTCGCGACGCCCATGGCTCAGGCCGTTATCTGCAACCAGGCCATGCACATATTTATTCCCTTATTAAAGCTCTTAACCCTTATCCTCCTGGATCCTACAAAATCCACCAGGTGCTTTTGGAAGGATTTTGCAGGATTTAAGAAGGTAGAGCCAGCTGCTTCAACTGTACATGGAGCCAGATGGAATGAGAAGAATCTGCATTAGGTTTTCAAAGGATTCAGGAATAGTCCTGTCAATTTCCAAGGGAAAGTTAATTTAGTCATCGTCCTGCATACACTCTCTGCTTATCCTCCAAAAGAGAAAACAAATCAATATTTCTGCTGGTAATTTCTGGGCGCAGACCATTATGAGCTGTACCAATTAGTGCACAGACATTGTACCAACACAGTCCCAATTGCATTTCATAAATGTATTGATTATGAGACAGCATGGTAGCCTGTGCAATTGAGGATTTGTAAACAATAAAAGGTCCCATATCTGAACAAGAAAGAATAAGTGAGCTTCATCTTAACTCTTTCAGTGCCAAACTCGTATATGTACGAGGTATATTTGTTAGTACAAAAGCGCCAATCTCGTACATGTACGAGGTAATGTTCGTACTTAAAATTGCCAAACCTTGTACATACATGTACGAGGTAGAGTAAATATGTTATCAAAAGGGGCGCTCTCGCTCTTTCTAATGGTACCATTTTCATGCATGTACGACCTGTATTTATTTTTTCATTCAAGTTCTTGCGAGAGGGCACAGCACTAAATCTCATATTTTCTGCAAAAAGTGCGGAATTCCCCTGTGTTCAGGCCAGTGTTTCAGGGTGTTATCACTATGTTTGTGACTACTTTTGACTTTCCAATATATCAAGGATATACCAGAGAGCAACAACAACAAATTTAGTGAGTGAAACGTATTTACTTTTTTTTTACAGAATTTCGAACAATTAACAAAAACGCTCGAAGTTGGGCACTTTAGGGTTAAACTTTTCAAATTTCGCGGGCACTGAAAGAGTTAAAAGTGGCTGCATTTTGTAAAGAGTGTAGGGATAATTCCAAAAATAATGATAGGCTTTAGGACTAATTTTCGAAGTGACAATATCACCCAAAACATCTGTGTCACATTACATTCCAAAAATTAACAAAAGGTGATAGATGGTTAATCTACCTTTAGCTTGATAGTGTTTTCTTAACTTTTGAAGTGTAGGCATTTACTGTTGGTGTCTTTGGCAATTTGTTTTCTAGGTCATGTTTAATATACCCTGTAAATAATCAGCTCTTGTTGAGTCCAGACGACTGTCTGGAATGACGACCCCAAAGATCTGACGGAAAGCGTGTACGTGACACTAGGCACATCCAATATCTAGCGATGTCAAATGTCAGACTATTCCCACCCTCCCCCCCCCCCCCATAGAAAAAAACCTCAAACAAACCAAAACAAACGCTTTATCAAAGGCATTGTTGCGCAAAGGACAAAGACCTACCACATCAAGCTAGCAAATCTTTTCATGGATTATCACAGTAAATCACCATGTTCATCGTTAAGAAACTTATCTGACCTGGTTTTTTATCATTTGGTTTGTTCATTGACAACCATAAGTAATCTGAGGTAAACACTGAAATATTTTTTTTTCCCAACAGGGATGCCAGAGGGTTTTTTGTTTTTTGCTGAAGGGCCTGAAAAATTCACGTGAAAGAAGACCAAATGCACAAAATGATTGCAACACACCATAAACACATTGCAATATGTCTACATTGAAGTTACAATTCATACATTCGTGTATTGAGCTACATTTAGCATGGCAATTACTATGGAGCATTGCATGCACAATTTTTTTTCTCTGTGCGTGCTACAAGAGGATTTATTTTTCCGGTCTGTGATGGGATGGAATGCCTGAGTTTGTTTTTCCAAAACCCGAAAAAGCCTGAATTCAGGCCATGGCCTGAAAACTGGTATCCCTGTCCCAAATACATACATAAATCAAGTTGTGCTGATTTTACAAATTAAATGGCATTTCATCTTTGTTAGACTGATGATGTGACTGACCTGTGAAAGGCTTATTGTTATTGAATTTGAATATTCCTTTAAACTGTCCATTTTCTGGTCTAAACCCTAACCCTGCTGAATCCAACAGGATCCAACTGTGTCATATACCCGATGGAGTTTGTTGGATCATTGAGCAGTAAACCCCTTGTGTACATTCCTGATGCAAAATGTTGGATTCAGCAGGCAACTGAACTGCATTATAACGCCATGTTGGACTTCGTTGGATTCAGCAGACAACTGAAAATGAGGCACAGTGGATTGAACAGGAAAGTCCGGTTGGACTCCGTTGGATTTATCAGCAGACAACTGAAAATATGAGGCACAGAGGATTGAACAGGGAAATCCATTTGGACTCTGTTGGATTTACAAATGTAGCAGGGTAGTCCTAAGGAACTACTAGGGGGTTAGGGTTAAAGAAGTTTAAATTGATTTAATCTGGATGTGATTTAAAAGCCTGAGGTTTTGCCCCTCTGCGTGTTAAACAATGCGTAGTTCCCCCCCCCCCCATGAGAAACGATAAGTAAAATTAAATGTCTAATGAGTGTTTCTATCTATACAAGTAACCATTGTAGACTACATGTACTGTACATAAGAAAAACCATTATTAACAAATCAAAAATACCAATGTGGCTTTGAAATACTTTTACAATATACATGTAAAAGTACGTACATCTAAGGTGACAAAAAAAAAGACATGACTAATATCAAAGGTGGAGCATGACAAAACTTCCGACTGTAAAAACAACACATAGGCCAACAGTTTACATAATTATGTACCATTTTCATCGTGGTCATTTTCTATTGTTTTCCAAAAGCACTCGTGCAGCATGCTGAAACCTGCTGTACATGATAATGTAACTTTGAAATATGATAATGTAACTTTGTACATGAACGCTTTGCCCTCTGAACCATGTATGCAATCGGTCCAATATGCATGTAACGGTAGAATGCAGAATCAATTATCCGTCTGGCTTAAGTATTGTTCAAAGTTCAACTGTACATTTTTCTTTCCAACGGCAGTGATGGATGTGATCATTAATCCACCCTGCTTGCACCTCGCTGATGAATAAATTACTTATTAAGTGAAAGTGGCACCATGTTATTTGATGTGAAAACATGCTGTGTGTATCTGAACATTCTACTTTTGTTATTACATCAAAAGCTGAATTACTTTCAAACTCGACCGAGTAAATCTCCTTGACGTTCATGTAAGATTAAATGCATACACAATGACACTTTTGTACATGTACATGTAAGTATTTAACTTGAAGATTATATCTTTAGCGATTTTCAAGAGTTAAAAGCACAAAAACAATTATGCAGCGCAAGAACAATTATCACAATACCCTATAATTCCCTTTAAACCCAAATAAACAGTATGAAACAAAGATAATTTTCTTTATCAGGTATCTAAATGTCTGAACAAACTTTATCGCCTTATTACACAAATAGGGGTTTCCTTTAGTCAACGACTGACATGTTTCCCTGATTTGTCTAAATCATTTTACCAACAATGGCATTTGAACCTGATTAAGAGAAACGAATCCCTCTAAATGTTGAATGGCAATGATTCATGGGTCATTCCATGTCAAATCACCCAATGGGTTAAACCCACCCTCTTCAAAGATGCTCACATTTAGTATGTGGGATAATTTTGGCTAAAAAAGCTGAAATCTTCAGTTTTAGCACCATCGGACAAAAGGGTTTGCACTACAACCGCCAGTTTTGGGTGATTTTGGCCAAAATGGGCGTGGCTGCCAATTTTTAAATGACCATATCTCCATAACCTGTGGGCCCAATTTGTTGATCTTGGTTGCTTTGGAAAGGTAACATCACGAGGAATCCAAATTTACGAAAGTATGTTAGTCCACATTTTGTTTGCAATCGGTTAAGTAGTATCAAGGAACCAAATTACAAGAACAGCACTTTTTTCATTGTTTTTCCAGCATCTATGAACACAAAACTTTAAACAGATCAGTGTAACAATATTTGCTATAGAATACTAACCCTCAAATCCATCCATTTCTGAAAAGTACATCAAAAGCAAATGTTGTATATTACCTTTAAAGGGAATACAACATTTGCTTTTGCTGTAATTTTCAGAAATCGAAGGGTTTGGGGGGTTAGTATTTTATAGCAAATATTGTTACACTGACTTGTTCCTGAAAATGACAGCATACCAGGTGCCATGATTTTACAGGATGCTTTAGATAGTCTATCACTAACAGTCCAGTCAGGCGCTTCAAAATAATTTGGTAGTTTTGTTTTGTGATGTTTGCAAATGTTGTATATTCCCTTTAAGGATTGTTATACATGTACATAATATTCCCTGCGAGGTTTGCCTGAATTTTTTCATGTTCCATTAATGTGTAACAAGCATGTTACTATGGTTACCTGTGGTTCTCCACTGATGTCAATATGATGACAGCCGTTCTCCACACAAGCCCTGACAACCTGCTCGCCATAGAAACGGTACTATGAAAACAGAAAAGACAAAATGCCATATATTTGAAATTAACACTCAAACTGAAAGAATGCACAGAATATAAAATTATGATCTCAATGTTGCCATCTCAATTGTTTTTCCTAATTCCTGCAGATCCATGTTCCAAATTAAATTTGCTGTGAAAGGTTTAAATTTCACCAGTTGGATTTGATTATTAGGCCAAACAAAAAATATTCCTGCTTCCTATTACAATGCATTTGAAAATAAGGTAGGTAGGTGGGGATTTTTTTGGGGGGGAGGGGGCATTTTTTTGGTGTACGATCCTATGTAGTCAAGGGTAAAAGGTAGTAATTGATGGTTTTGGGGGGTTTTTTTTCTCAATTTTCCAAAAATAAATTAGGGTTGGGGCTATCAAAATAGGGTAGGTAGGGTAACCGGAAGCAGAACTATTATTTTTTTTGCCCTTACCATTCGAAATTATTCACATGGCTAAAATCAGATGCTATTATTTAACATGTGCCATAGCCTGCTGGACCAGCGAACAAAACTATAAACAAAACCTGTCAAATCACAACAAACACCTCCCGTAAAAAAAACACGATAGATGATGAAGGCAAGGATGAAATGTATATATTTATCCTTCAGATGCACAATTCTTTCAAAGTCATTGTTTGCAGGACCAGTTATTTGAATTGTTTTTGCATTTATTTGAAATGAAAAAATGTACAAGTAAATGACTGTAAAATATTGAGAGCGAGAGTACCAGAACTCGTCATGGCAGTGTTCCATTTGCAGTATGCACACTGGCATAGAACATACACGGTACATGTACATTAACACCCACAATGCACAATCCAGACAACATTAATTATGTGCGTTCTTGACCTCTGCGTAACATCTAACATCTGCATGCTACCATTACATGAACCGCCATCAAATACAATTTGAATACATGTACATCTGTTATCTGCATAAAACATTGTAATCATAGCTTCCCTGCAATGCATGTTTGATGACGTGTACATGTGTGTATGTTTACATATGTACTAATGTGCCGTGCATGCCACAGCATTTCTCATATGAAAATGTTTTTTTCAAATTACATGTAGAAAAATTACGTTTTGATTTACTTTCAGCAAATATTGCAAGATTCAAATTCACATATAAATTTATATACCGGTATCTATTTAATGTTTTTCTCTTCGACCTGAAATTGTGGACAGAAGCCTGCACCTTAGTGTTTTCAAACATTAAACTACAATAGCAAAGCACTTGAAGTTATCATGTCTAGACATCTGCGGTGAACAATGCTAAATGCTGTAATGTTATCAAATCATGCAAACATGATCATTGAACTGTCCCAGAATGCAATGTTTATTAATATAACGATGGTGACAATTTACCAAGACTCTTGCAATGAATCAGACGTCTCGGCAAATTAGGTCATGAGACCGTGAAAAAAAGGACTATATCACCATGGTAACAATACATCACCCAGCTACTGACTTAAATAAGCTGTATAAAAATCAACGAAGAGTCGAAGACATAAACTGACAAAGACATAAACATATCTAATCTCAAAAACATGATATTTACTCTTTGAAGGCCTACATGCAACGTTGTAAAAAGAAAACTTTCGTAAAAATAATTTGTAAGTTTTTGGGGGGTAATTGTTTTGTTTAAATGGCAAGAGAGAGATTTAGAGAAAGGTTATATGTATGTGTTTAAAGCTAAAACCATAGCATATTTACAATATAATTATACCAGTAGCTTGACAATTTGTGCCCGAGTTGTACTAATATTTTTGGATTTAAAACTAAAAGAATGACTACAAGAATAACATGCATGTACCGGTATTTAAGAAATCTATTCCTGAAACTCACCGGTCCCACACAGTTGAGCAACACCTTGCCTTGTTTGCACATGTCACTCATTGACTGGTTGTCGTTCACATTGGCAAGAATGACACCCACCTTGCTCAAATCGTTTCCTGAAATTCAACCCAAAATATCAAAATGATTTTCTGATTAATTAAAGCAATCTGCTGAAACAATTCTTAAGTGCAAACATCAAGGCAATGTAAGGCTGTCATAAGCTCATAACCAAATAAGGTAATGAAGTTGACAGTATGCAGATGTGAGAAAATGTAAATGTTGGAACTTTCAACCAATAGGGAGCCTTCATAATCCTTGGTTGTCCGCGCTGAACAAAAGTTGTTTACACCTGTCACTGTGTAATAGCTATAGCTAGGAGGGGTTGCATTTCACACGATGTTTCCTTATTGGTTTAACCTTCCGTAGTGAAAAGAAATAGTGAAAAAACATTTGATATGCTATATCTTCCTGGGATCCCATCTGAAATCAGACATCCACCAAATGGAACGGGTTCACGAATCTGCAACTACCGGTATAGCACATCACCAAAGGCCAGTAAGGCCTACATGTACGCCACTACTTTAGAACCATGGATAAAATACCCTCAAACAACGAAGACAAAGGAAAAATTCTGCCAACCGGACACCACTTTTTTCAACTAATTTTCTAGCGCCAAAAGTTACCTCTTTTATGGTTATTCCCTCCACTTTCCCTCCTCTACTCTCACCCCCTCCTTTCCTTAATTTCTATTTATCAATCAGTCGCTCACTTCTTCGAGATTCGAACCTCGGATGCTTGCTTGATACACGAGACTCTTAACCGCTAGGCCGCGCACGATCGCTGTTGCAATGATCAATCTTTGGGCGTATTTGAAGTATCCATTGAAATAAACTAAATATTCATGAGAAAATAAATATTCATAATGACGTATTGCACTATCATTGGCCGGCTCATGCGATGTCATGGTTGTCGATGTCATGCGTATAACGTATCGCTGTCTTCATGGTCTTCCAGCCACTTTAATCAGTTTTGACCAGCTGCTTCAACTTAGTTCTGCACGACGTGTGCATCCAAAATGTGCTCTAAAAACACATTTTAAAAACACTATTTTGTTTTCGCATTTAAATTACACAGCTTCCTGGATTCCTCTTGGGTGAAATCACAAGGTGAGGTGAAAATTGATATGTTTGGCGGGAGGTAAAGTGGTGATCCAGTATGGATTTTTTCCAAGGACTTGGGTGGACTGGACTTCAAGTTCACTGGCGACAGTGGCGTGAACAAAAAACACAAAAAGCAAACCAACCTGTGGTTTCAGCAGCCTGCTTCAACACCCCCTCCAACTTCTCCTTGTTCCTACCGGCCACAGCCCAAGTCAAGTTGCCTTCTTCCTCGGCAACACGGGCCAACTCCTCCGCCACATACTGCCCCGTGAAACCACTCGCCCCAAATATGATGATGTCGAACGACTTGTCGTGCTTGTCTTCGCCCGTTTCAGCCATGTTGTATGCTGAACAGCTCAAGCTAGTTGTGCCAGACTTCCTTCCGCGTTGCTCTTATTATAATTATGAGACAGGCGCCTCAGCTCACGACACTAGGCAGCCGCATACGAGGTGCGCTAGTTTTGTTGTTATAATTTATTTAATGAATAATATTTTGCGCAAACTTCACGGCCTTGTACTTGTACACAGTCTGCTACTTGGGTGCAGGTCAACTCGGTCCCACACCAACTCGGTCCTAATAACTCGGTTCCAAGTCAACTCGGTCCCAGGACAATTCGGTTCAAAGTCAACTCGGTCCCAGTTCAACTCGGTCCCAGTTCAACTCGGTCCCAAGTCAACTCGGTCCCAACGTAAATAAAGGTCAGATAATTCAGGTCTCTTCTTTTATCACGGACGTGGCGCGGGCCCTAACGTTGATTTTCGCCCCTAGTGCCTTGCTAGAGCAAAACAAAATCTCAAATTTCACAGCAAGTGAAATTTCATCAATCTCTGAACATTCTGGTTCATAAATCTTGAGATTTTTTTATTTAATGGCGTGATTTTCCGATTATATTTTGAGGTGCGCGCGCACCGATGAACCTTTTAAATGCACAAAAATAAAGACAATAGTTATTTGACAAACTTGCAGTTGGGTGTGTGAGTTGAGATATTAATGGTTTATCAGACTTCGTCAACTTTAAAGAAAATCTTCCATGTTCACTTGGGATTTTCCGAGATTTTTTCAAGTGCGCCACAACTCGGGAACACGCGTAACACGTCGGCCAACTTTTTGCCGGCTAATTTCCGGACCATTTGAATTTCAGACTTAATTTCATGACACTTATTGTTCACAAGGGTTTAAAAGCAAGCAAGTAAAAGAACCAGTATTTAACTAATAAAATCACGTTTGGCAACAAAGAGGCAACACCGTGGGAGAAAATGATCATGTCGCGGCGTAGGACCGACCATACGTATCTACAACGTCTTGACTATGGTCTTGACCCATAGACCATGGAGGTAGAATACTTATTGGACCGTCAGACAGTGGGACCGAGTTGACATGGGACCGAGTCGATTTAGGGCCGAGTTGACTTGGGATCGAGTTCACTCGGACCGAGTTGGTTTGGGACCGAGTTGACTCGCAACCATACATGGCTGCGAGCGCCCTCTGTTGGCTTTTCTCGTTCGTCTAATAACTTTTTAGTTAATTTTAGCGGAAGGGTTAATATAATTTATACATAGTTATTTGTTCAACGAAGAACTCATTGTTGGTCCCAAAATACCGCTTTCATTTTGATTTTGTGCTACTCGCGAATATGATATATCATTAATACTATTTACAGGGGCATCAATTCCCAACGTCGATTGGGGGGGGGGGGGAGATTAAAATCTTAACAAGTCCATCCATTTTTTTCCCATCAGGTTACATGACCGTAATTTTTCTTCAGTTCCCGCCAGCAAGATAGATCCAAACAATTACCCCAATTTTCAACTCACCAATGTCCGATCCTGATTATCCCGTTGTATTTTACTCGTTCGGAAAATGTATAAAAGTATTAAAGGATTCGTTCTACACTTAATTATTCAATAAACGTGAGGAAATCCCTCAAAGACGTTTCGTGCAATTAAACACAAACTCCATTATTACTTACGATACGAAAGGACGATGGCTCCTGCTTGTACCTACTTATCATTTCTTGAAAGTCTTCTGATGTGATAAACATACTCCAGTCATTTCAACAACAACCTCTTTAGCTCTGCCGCCGAAGCTGAATAATGGGTAGTTTAGATCATCGCCAAAAGGAAACATGTTGATATCCCTCTTGAGGTATAATGGTCTTGTCAGTTTCAAGTTAGGAACATTATGCGATGGTGTAACTGGGGTTGGGGGGGGGGTGCCCCCAAGCGGAGGTCCATAACCCCCCCCCCCCTTTAAAATCCGGAATTGCAATAAAAAACTAATATAAAATGCAGTTGCCTTCAATGCCCCTTGACAAATTGGTGCACCCCTAGGTCCCCCCAGACGTTTAACCCTTGTCACGCCATTGGTTAAGATGACGATCCAGACTGTCGCTCAAAAAAATTAGTTCTGCTGTAGTTTCTTTGTACACATAAATCACATAATCCTAATTGTGTCAAATTTCGGGTTTTCAACCGGGGAGGCCATCTTTTTAGCACCCCCTGCCCACCTCCTCAGTCCTAAAAAAATAATAATAATGAATAAGCACCCATTTATTATTTTTCTTATTTTAAAACGATGACCCCCACTTTTTGTACGCAAACGTTAACCTCAACAGTTTCTCTGTGTTTTAACTTCAAAACATTTTGCTACTGGGGGTGGGGGTCCGGGGCATGCCCTCCCCTCCCCCCACACCTTATATTCAAATTCGTCCAGCAACATCGATTTAGTGCACTTCCAATGTTTAATTTCGTCTTTTGTCAGACAATCTCAAATTTAGTCCAAACAAATTCAAACAATGAGCTCACGTTTAAACCGACCCGGAGTATTCGATTTCGTTTCGACTACGCCAAATTAATTGTCTTATTCAGAAATCAAATTCGTCTAATACTACACAATTTATACATTAATAGCGATATATTCAAAGGCATTCTGTAATGTAGGTTTTCCCGGTTATTTTAAAACATTTTCCATTCAGATTCACCACACTCTAACATTCAATTTCGTCCGAGAAAAAAATTAATGCTTTTAACAAAACCATTCAATTTCAAAGTTTGGTCACCCTTTTTAGTCACTGTGTCGAGAGATCGAATTCGTCTAAGCTGTTGCCGAATGGCAGCATTTAGAGATCGAATTCGTCTCATATAAATCAATCAGACGAATTTGATTTCTGAACAACAAGTTTTGGCATGGAGACGAAATGGAATACTCTGGGACGAAAACGTGTTATGTGCTCATTGTTTGAATTTGCTTGAACGGAATTTGAAATTGTCCGACAAAAGACGAAATGAAACATTGTGAGTGCACTAAATCGATGTTGATTGACGAATTTGAATATTAGAAACGGTGAATTCGAATGATAAACGTTTTAAAATAGCCGGGGAAAACCTTTATTAAAGAATGAGTCTTAACTTTTTTCCTTTCCTTATTTCTTCATAAATGCGTCATACACTCAATATTTTAGGCATATTACACGCAGTGGCGTCGCCAAGGGGGGGCCAGGGGGGGCACGTGCCCCCCCTGGAAAACCTAGTGCCCCCCGAGTGCCCCCCCCCCCCCCATCAAATGCTGGTGCCCCCCTATCCTCTGCAAAATTCTGCGCGTTGTTAAAATCATTACCTCAAAAATAGCAATTTCTGGAGATATCTTCAGATCGAATTTAGCATCAAATGTGGCACCATTTTGCATCTAGCCCATCCTCCGTATGCGAAAATTTTCCAAAGGGGAGGGGGGTAACTCTTCTTTGAGTTCAGTACTCTGCTTTTGATCCGAAAAATTACGTGAGTGAATAAATCTGCCAAATTGTGCTTGGAGACACAAGGAAAATGCTGAAGTTAAAGCACATCACCCGACTAATTTACTTTATACAAGTTTTAGATTGATTGATTGATAAATGACGAATTTGATCTCTGAATACTGCCATTCCGCAACAGCCTAGACGAATGTGATGACGAATATTCTCGAACCGGTGACTAATGAGGGTGACTAAACCTTGAAATTGAATTGTAAATGACTAAATTGGTTTTGGTTACAGCGTGTGATTTTTTTCTCGGACGAAATTGAATTTAAATTGGTGAATTTGAATTTAAAATGTTTAAAAATAGCCGGGAAAACCCATATCGTTACATTAGTCAGCGGATGAATGGGGTAGCACCCCCTCTCGATCCACCACTGTCCATTCTTTCCAGGATTTTCCAGTCATACCATCGAAAAGCCATTTTTTAAATAAAAATTACAAATTGTTCAGATGCGAAAAGCAGGAAGTGCAGGGCCCAATTTCATAGAGTTGCTTAACAGCCGACTTTGTGCTTACCGAGCCTCCATCTATTTCATAGGGACCGTTAAGCAGTAAGCACGGCAAAGGCACGCTTAACCCCAGAAGAAAACTGTGCTTAAATCTGTGACGTAACAACAGAAATCTCCATGCGCGCGCAACCGTTAGCATGCCTGCTTGAGCAGCAGCAGGATTTTCTGCTATAGTAAGCCTAACTTTTCTGCTTACTGTTAAGCAGTGCTATGAAATTGGGGCGCTAATAAATGGGCCTATTTTGAGTCAATAGAGGGCGCTGTTGGTAGAGACGTAATTTTCTGGGTAGAAACAGTGGAAATATCACGTTTTGCAGCAATTTAACAACTGCACTTCAAAATTTAGTAGTTTTGATTTCGATTTTAGCAACATGTAAACTCACGTCAATAATCTTGGATTCATGCATACTTGTACAGCGCCCTCATTAATTTGATCAAAACATTGATGGGTGTATTTTTTTTTTCCTATGACGGTTAGAGGTAATTCATGAATAATTAAGTAGTTTCGATGGGTAGATTTTTCTTCTTCAAATTTATCATTGGATAATTTTAATTGAAGGTACAAAATAGAACGAGAACCTAATTGTCTTGCAAAGATTCAAAGGAAACACTGAATTATTCACGATATTGCCCCCCCCCCGGAAAAAATACGATGCTGAGGAGGGAGGGGGAGGGGATCCAAACATGCGCATGCGTCAGTTTGTACGGTCTGCGATAAAGTGGTGAAAAATGATACCCCTTGGATGATGGTGCCCAAGGGGCCCAATTAAAAGGGTACTGCATGGTTATAATGTACACCGCCAATTACCGACAAGTTGTGATCCTTGCCACCTAGCATAGCAAGGCCCGATTCCTTCCGATTATGAAAGTTGTTGCCAGCTAAATTTTTGTCCACAAAATGTAGGGGCGAGGCAGGGGATCTAATCTAACATATAAAAATTATATGCAGCTTCACCGCGTACCGCCACCCGACAAGTATCGTTAAAATTCAACAGCGCCCTCTATTCAATTGACCTATGTATTTTATAATAAAGGCCTACATGGAATTTTTCTTTCCCCTAATTTCAAGTTTTGAGTAAAAAAAGAAGACCAGAATTTGCGAAGAAGGAATAATCGTGGGGAAAAAGACTGTTTGTGCAAATTCATACCTAGAACGGATACTTTTTGGACAGTAGTATTTTGTCAGTGACAAATGACATTGGCATTTGCTCGAAATCTTAAAACATATGGGTGTCATCTGTTATCTTCGCAATGGCGTCTCGCATTGAAATATATTAGGTTCTGCGGAAACGAGTTCTTGAATGTATACCTTCTATTGTTTGTAAGAATTGAGTGCATAAATGGAAGCCGTGGTTGGCAACATATTTCCCCCCAAAAGACCTCATAAACACCCTCATTACACAAGAAAAAGTAATGTTTAGAAAGAATTTGGCAGCGTTTGTTGTTTACTTTATATTTAGACAATCAAATAATATTTTGGTAATCATTAATAATTCTTCTTAATTTTTGCAGTGTTGGACCTTCCATAGTTTGGCAAATTCGCCAACCACGTACGCGTCGGCGCTGGTATGGCTTTGTTTTCATGATGAAGGAAAACATACACACAAGAATGAAAGTATGTTTAAAAAAAATGCAAGGAAAATTGATTTCATGTTATTTTGGTCATTCTAGAGACGGGGCCAAAGTTCGCTTTCGTAATAAATTCCCAACACAGACATCTAATATGCCTCGCATGCATGCAGCCAACAGCCAAATGATATGCAAAGATCTTCGATCAATATATTGCCATGCAACTCAAAGTTACTGATTAACTTTGTGCAAACATCGTGGGTGTTTACTTTCTTATCGGCCAGCGTGATAGGGGACGTATCTGGTGCATATTTGCTGGCACTGTGCGGGTTTGCTTTTGGACTGCGGTCCGACGGCCATAAAAGCCGCCATTAACAAAGTGACGATTATAAGTGCCGATATCTTGTCGTTAGGATTGAAAAGAAAAAAAAAGGTACGCGGTTTATTTTTGAAGTAGGCATTTTGTCCTCCGAATGATAAGCAAGGTACTGATAAAATACACAATGTGGACTTTCAACCTCTTGCCTTTAATAAACCTTTAAGCTAAGATCATGTTTCTGATCCAGTTGAAATCTTATCATTAATTTCCTTAAAAATAAACCAGCAGGTTTCAAACCCTTGAAACTGATTGGGGTTGTTAAAAAAAAAATGTCAACAGTGAATACGCCCCTCTATTTTAATTGCCACTCGCAAGCAACGAACTCCGTTTCTTTAAAGTGTTTTTTTACAAAATATTTGTGTAGGCCTACATTCATCTTATGACAGGATTGGAAAATATTTGAATGTGAAATTTCTTGCAGACATCAGTGGACGATAATAATATAAAATTTCAGAATTTTCTGTTCATCTTCTTTCATTCGTTGGGCAGCAATTTTTTTCACGCAGATGTGTCAGCATAATGCATTTCAGGAACCTGGCTTTTTTTCAAATAGCGTCTATTAATTTATAGCGAGTGATTTATTTTTCGATTTTGGGGCGTTTGAAATGGATACATGCTTGTGGGCAATATGCAAAGTGAAATTGTCTTTTGTGAACTTGTAAAAGTGAAATTATCTTTTGTTCAGATTCCATTTTTTTTGGCAAAGACATTTCCAGGAACAGGTGGACTATTTGTATCAATAGATTATGGGAAGTAGTCGAGTCTCGTTAATACAAACTCGTTCGGACCGAGCCAAATTTTTTGTTATATTAGAATTTTGTACTAAGAGGAATATCGGTCACATTCATTGTGCACATTAAATGCACAGTCGGGACCAAGGCCTTATACCAGAATTTTGTATTAACAGAGTTTGTACTAACGAGAGTCGACTGTAGTAATGGGCAAAATATGGTAACCGTGGCGTTTTGAAATGAATACATAGCCTATATATTTTTTTTTCAAAAGAATAGTTCGAGCTTTTATGCCATGGCATTTGACCTGGACACATTTAAAGCTGTAACTGTGTTTCCTTCTGCCTATACATAGCTGGTTATTGCGTCTTCAGGAAATCTTCACCTAACAACTTTATCCCAATGACGCTTATATTTTAAACCAGTCTCCGATTTAATGCTGGTCCACCCCACATACCTAAGGAATATTTTAAAGTTAATTTAAAGGTATTTTTGACATATCCACACTGCAGTCACACAATAGCAGAACACAGAGATTTCACAGCCGACTTTCTGAAATCCGTTTGCGAAAAAAGCAATCCATGCAACTGGACAACAGGAAGCTAGAATTTAGAAAAGCCAATCAGCAAGTACTTGCGGGGGGGGGGGGGGGGGGGGGGGGTCGGGGGCGACCAGGCGTATCCCGATCCACTTCCTCACCTCAACAGAGCGCCTCCACGCGGCGAGCTGAAGTGAAGGTTACACAGACGAGACCAGTAATGAACTGCCAGAGACCCTGGTAACACCCGCGATAAACACCCCCACTTCCAAAAATCAGGAAAAATACTCGCAACTCTCCAAGGTATTTGAGACGCACATCAAACTAAAGTTTATTTCATCATCTTTCCGAGATTCTAGTCAATATTTAATTGTTGGGGGTAATCTGATGACTTTTGGGAGAAATTTCCATCCAAACATGATCACCCCTAAAAGCAGTCCTGAAGCCCATCGCCATTTTGAAAAAATGATGCCCACATTCCACTGCGAAATAGAGCAATTTAAGGACCCAATTTCATCCCTATTTCACAGAAATACAAGCTCGCAGTCCTGTTCACGGCTTCCATCCTTCTTTTTTGTTTACAAATCATGAAGTTCATGGCCCGCAAAATGCTTTAATAGCAGAGAAATTGAGGTCATGCAAAACGTGATTTGGCAGGCATAGACAATTTGGGCCTTGTTTACTGCTCCCAGCTTAAGATAACCCCTTCATGTGGAGCCAAGGGGGCGGTTCCCTGGCCAGTGCTGCAGCAGCAAAGCACCCTTTTATCACATGTATTATTTTATCTGTCCTCAACACAGCAGACAATGCCTACCTTTGGACTCGAGTCGGGCCGACTGATCCGGTGCATTTGTCCAATCATAAGCTCAGGCCCGTTCTTGCGTATTTGCATTTCATACAGTGTTTGCAGTTTGGAATACCAAGATAATCCAGTGAGAGCAATTATGTTTTTAATGAATTCCATTTCCCGATTCTGCTTGTGCCAGTAAAATTATTGTCGGTGCTTGGATTAAAAGAAGTAGACAAACAATTTGTCTAGGATGTTGAGGTGGAACAATGGGGGGGGGGGGGGGGGGGGGGTTAGGGTGGAGAGATGTTGACAAAGTAAACCCAAAAAACTCGACTTTTTGATATTGTTCGAATTATATCAGTTTGGTTGGTCGTTGATATATTTTTGTTGAGGGGGGGGGTACTGAGAAATAACCCTTTTTTGTACGACCATGTCTACGATTAAGCTCAAAACAAACCACACGAGGATTTGTATAAAATGAAATAACTGCATTTTGCATTGACTTGTGACTGCATTAATATCAGTAAGCATCATTTAACAGTGCATGTAGTAACTTTTGAGTTCTTCGCAACGGTGCACAATAGGTGCTTCCGAATTCCCTTGAGAAGGTTAACTCTCGCCAAAGAATTGGGGGAAAACCTGACTTCTGGTTCTTGGCAACTCTTTACAAAAGATTTGAAATATTCTGAAGGATTGTACAACTAAAGACAATAGTTATTGTCTTGCCGATGTATACATTATGTTACTGTAATTCAGAAATTTACAAACACCAATTGTGCACCGGTTGTATAACATTCGAATAACTGACGAGTCCACTGCAAGCCATATTAGTTAATTAGTGCAACCCACTAATTTTCAGTAACGATACAAAAATAAATCACTTTATTGCACATTTGGTTCTTCATCATTGATTGTCCTTATCTCATTCTTCTAGAAATTACAAAAAATTAATAATCACAATTTAAACAAAAAACAAATATCTTTGGTTCTGATCTTGAATTTTTTTTTGTTGTAAAAGCAATACATAGAATCATTTATTTGATTTAATAACTGAGCTCCAATACTTACCTCGGGAAGACAGGCTCTACAAGGGGGAAAAAATTAAAAAATCATGGAATACCACAAGACGATGATATCCCGTCATGCAAAGGCTGAATAGACAGGAAAAAGATGGAGGTTGATCTGTCTGTTACTATGGTTACACCATGCAGAATGATCGCCAAAGTAACTACGTAAGCTCTGGATGTGGTGGAGTGTTTTGTCGTTTTTTTCATGTTAGGTATGAAGTATGTTAATCCAAAAAACAGAAGAAAGCAGAAAGTACAAAAATCAACATAATGATTTTGGTCATTGCGATATGTCTGTGCTCCATTGTCCAATGAAACAAAAATGCTACGAACATCAATTTGGGGGTAAAATAAATGAACAAAACCATTGTCCCAAACTCCCAGAATGCAATGTTGCAGTTGTTTCTGTGTCAGAAAGAATGTGCACATGCTTCGCAAACGATGTTGTAGTGGAAGCTATGTTAAATACACCCACAATGATGTTGGTTTGGTAGTAGTTTATATTGCAAGTGGTTTCAGATCAAACATTTCTCATGGTGAAAATGCCGAGCCAGTTTTACAAAGAAACTAATCACTCATTAAAATCATGTGATTTGTACAAAATAAATCCATGGGAAATTTTGGGATCAAAAAAATGGAAATATTTTGCATTTTTTCTTCAGTTTGTGGGGCACGATTTGACTTGGAAGGATAAGAATGGCTTTGCTGATAAAATGTTGATCTGAACGCCCTGCAAACATTTTTATGCCAGAAAGGAGTTTTGAAACTATTATGAATAACTACGCCATATGAATTTCAGCCCAACAGTGACAGTTGGATTATTTCACTACTTCTTGGGAAGAACTACAAGCGCGTGAATACCATGTCTGGTGAGGATGTACTCTCCATAGTTGTTATGGCAACCAAATGAGACACACACAAAAAGGAGTGGAAAAGTCATGGTCCATCATTTTGTCGTGGCTAACCAAAAATGTCAAACCTGCTAAGAATTGTCTTACGAGTTAACAGTAAACTTAAAATAGAAACTCATCATTTAAATAAAACAAGTAAACTACTCTGAATGTGTCATTGCTTTGCACGTGTGTGTTGTTTTGAATAATAAATGACCGATTACTATATCTTCATCAGATTTAAGTTTCAACAACTTTCGAAGCAAAAATGCATTTCAAATAGGCAAGAATAAGTTCCGTCATCTTGACTGATTCTGTGTGATAAAGAAATCCCTACAAAATATAAATCTTAATTGAAGAAAAAAAATATGAAGCTCTTTGAACATAATAAAGTTGTACTGTTTGTGACACAAATGGTTGTGTTTAGTTTTAATCTCGTGATGGCTTTGGTGATGTTGTTGCTCAGTCTCATGCATGTTTGAAACAAAATCGGATGGTCGATCGAGTGTAATACACTGATCCGGTGGAACAATGGTAGAAGTGCATAGTAGTCTGGTCATGTTAGCAGTGCACCTTGGGAAGTTGGCGTGCGCCATCAGTAGCCTGTAGAACATAACGGTGTGAAATGAGCACGCTGCAAACATGTTGAAACATCCTTTGCTGAAGGGGAGGAGTCAGGTGAAGGAAAGGGGTGGAGGGCGGAACACATGCAGGTAAAAAATGGAGTTCATCCGTATACCAACTTACACATGTACCAGGGGTCAGTAACACGAGCCGAAGTGGACGTGGTGTTAATTGCAGAATTGGATGGATGAGGGGGTGGGAGAGTTTTAAGCAGCATGTCAGACACTTAGCACAGCACCAGGACTGCCAATAGACGAAGTCCCTAACCCTAACTGTTGATTGGATAATCCATGATGAACAAAACAAACTGTTCGTAACAAGTAACGTTCCGTAGTTAAAGGAGGCATACAGTCAGTTCTAGTGGTCCTTAATTTTATGGCTCAAAGAGCTCAGTCAATACTTGAAAAGGTCTGTTGGCCTATCTCCTTATAGAGACTCAAAATATTCATTGCAAGAGACCAAAAGTAACTTTGTTCACGATTAAGCACTTCAACTTGGGAGTAATCATTCTGTACATCGCGTATATCTTGGTCTGAATGCACGTCTTTGTTCACTGTGCAGTAAAATGCCGTCCAAAATTTTGAAACTGCCATTTTTTAGGGGGGTTTCTGTTTCAGTAATACGTCTTGTGCAACAAGACTGGAACGAGCGATGATTTTTTTCTCTCTGGGGAAAACTGACATGACATGATGAATGACTTTTGTAAGTGCACCCCGGAATACCTCGTACTGGAATCCATTTGTGCTTATGTTCCATTCCATTTGCTCTATGGCATGTGACCTTCTTGTGACCTTTATACATTTGTATTTGCAATCATTTCGTTCAGCTTATGACCCGTTTTTCACCGAAAGATATTTGGGTGTTTATCTATTTTCAGGACTGAAATTACTTGCTGAATTACTAGGTGTGGGTGTATATAAACAGGTTTGAATCTCAAATGAAATAGAGGTTTTTGGCAGTTTTGGCAGTAAATTAAATCCTTTCACCGAGGTGTCCAACACAATCTCACACAGACCATGGAGGAACAGACACACTCAGCACATGAACGGCAGTAACGTTTGACCCCTCTGTAAGCAACAGCCATCTTGGATAATTGATGTGTACATGTTGCCACTCGGAAAGGGTGAAACCATCCACCCCCCTCAAAAAGGCCGGGTGCCTTCGATTCAAACCATCTGTTTTATGATTACAGTGGCATGGAGTCTGGATACGGTTCCTGGATACATTGCCAAGATGGCTGCCATGTGCAAACAAAAATGCAAAGATGGTGAATTTGATGAAAACTGAACACCAACAGCTTTGAGGGGTGTGCAGTAGTTTTAGGAGTTCAGTGACGTTTTCCAGGTCAGCAAATCTCAATCCTCTTGTATTAATGTGCAATGGGATTTGTTATAAAACCAAAATAACATCGAAAGCCATGACAACACTAGACGTGGAACAGACAAGGGGGGAATAAACTCATAAACAAGAAAGTGTTGATGTTTTTTGTGTCTAGGAAAATGATGGGTAAGGTTAAAGGAGCATTTGTGTTTAGCGGTCAATCAACAAAATGCAAAAGCATGATGAATGAATAAGGAAGTCTTCTGATGTGTGTGGTCCCACTGAAACCAAACCATGTTTTTTGCTACTTTATCTGATACTTTTCATGGCCTTTAGTCTCCTTTTTGACCTTTTAAAAGCCTACAATCTATATTAGTATTTATATGAGATTGTTCATGTGTCAGACAAAGTGTTGGTTATAATGGTAGTGACTCCTATCATCATCACCCCAGCCATTGTGAAGACTCCTCCACTCTCATTGGTTAGCATGGATCTCTGTTCACATCAGTAATGCTTGAGGCTGACCAATGGGACAGCATGTTAGATAAATCACTGAAGATCATTATACTATAGCCCACATAATCTTGCCCTGTCCATTCAGCAACACAAGATATATCTCCAATGATGCTACGCAGCATTCTATAACTGAAAACGTCCCCGATCAAAGGTTTTCTGTGACCAACAAATACATAAAATACTGGTTTTGAAAAATGCACTTGTAGTTTGGTTTTGGTTTTTTAAAATGGCGTATGGACTAATGAACTGTGCAAATTAATACTCGGCAAGAGGTGTGTGTGAAAAGACCTGTTGCTGACGATGTCATGCTGCCTGTACATGCACACTGCCGTTTCAATGCATGTTGGTCTCATAGTTAATTCACAAATTTTACAAACTTGTGTTTGAAAGGCAGAGATATTTTTTAGACGTACATGTACAAACAAAGAAATTAAGATTTTCACTCCAATAGTGAAAGTGCTTGTATATTTTACTGCCCTGTGGGTCCCGAATGAGCCAGGCATGACATCATCAGCACTGTTAACTGAGCATGGAGGGGGATTCTGTTTCTATAGTAACACTGGGATGCTTCCATTGGCCAGCAGGGGTAGGGAGTGACAAGTTGTGTGCCTCTGACAGCCAAGGCTTGGTGGGAAAGACGGGACAATGCTGGTGTGAAAAAAAAAATAAACAACTGAAATGCAAGAAAAAATATCGTCGGGTAAAAAAAAAAAATAGGATAGGAAGGACAACTTTGTGGACATTAATAGCTCATAAACCATCACCTCATTATGAAAATGTTCGAAAGTGAACGGACCTCCTGCTAATGCTTGTGGGGAGAAAAGTTAGACTTTCAGCTTGGACGCTTCAATGTTACAGTGAGATCGGAATTTAAGAATACTGTCACTTTAAAAACGACAGAAAATTATCAAAATAAATTCATACACGCAAAAAAACAAATAAAACCTGTAGAAGTGTCAACATGCAATGGGGTACTAGCAGAGGAAAGACCATGACACAAGACACGTGGAAATGATGTACCAGGGATAAGAGCAACGTGTTGATTTTTTTTTTATGCAATATGGTTTAAAGAACATCATGATGATGAAACATGGCATCAAAGTGTAATACAGTGCACGGAGAAAAACGACAGAACAACAAAAAAAACCACAGCAGTAAAAAATAGCTTGTCAGCAGTACATCCTGGTAGTCATAAAGCTTGCCTGCATTGTCCCACAAACACTGAGTAGGCCTTGTTGCCTGTCTTTTGCGTGTATTAGTCCTGATTAACAAAACATCCTCAGAGAACTGCATGCTCTGTTCGCAAAATTAGAGTTTCAAATTGGCGACAGCGTTTTGCAGTTTGGAACTAATGGTCAAGTACTCTTCGTCTGAGGGGCCAAGTCAGAGGTATATTTGAAGTCAGAGGTATATTTGAACTCAGCAGTTAGGACAATGCAGGGCAAGCCTCTACTAACAAATGGGGACGTCTCAACTGATTGAGAAATCACCAGGAAAAAATGCTAGTATTAAGTGCTGGAGAAATTCTGAATGGTGTCACAGCTCCAAGTGAACAAAAATAACCAAAAAAATTATGAAAGGACATAAAGCTGACGATAATTAGAGCAGTTAAACTAGATGATATGGGAAAACATAACACGAAAGGTGGGTGTGGAGAGTTATTTTCATGGAAGATGTTCAATTGTCTTTAAAAAATTATCTGGTTGGGTGAAATCTTCCCATCAATCAAACAATAGCACCCTTGATAAAATATTGGTCGCAACTGTCCCATTCAAGTTAGTTTTTTTTCATTCATATAATTCAAATCAGTGTTCTAGAAAATCAATATTTGTTCCAAGTGATTTAACAAAATATAAAGAAGTTTAAAAGAAGAATTTCCATTCAAAATTACTGTATACATATAAATTACTATGATTTATGAAAGTAATGATTTTTTTTTTTTTTTTTTAGTCGTACATCCAAATACTTTTTTTTGTTATAAAGTTAATTACAATCTAACTTTACATTGGAAGGCAACCGTACAATTTTTAACCAAAAAAAGAAAACAGTCCACATAATTATGCTATCATAAACAATACATACGTTGAACACTCGTTATATATAAGAAATAACAATAAATGTCATCCTTCAAATTTATATATTTATATATATATTTTGGTTGACCAAATAGCCTTTTCGTACTGTCAATTTATTTTTTAGTTTTTTTCAATCACTGCATTAACAAGAATTGTTTACGTTGTCTGTTGGTCTCTCGTCCTTTGAATTGAGGCATGCATGGCAGTGACGGTGTTATGGGCAAACACGAGATATAGTCAGAGTGAAGTCAGAAAAAAAATGAAGATGTTTCAACTGAACAAAATTAAGGAATGGCTGATCTCTCATGTCTGCACGATCACAATACAGTGAAGAATCGTATGAGTTATAAAATGTGTGCCGTGTTTTAACATCTGTGTTGATGGTTGACGACAACAACAAAGAGTCTCATTTTTCTTTGGTCACTTGGGGACACTCCAGTTCGAAAAACAGAAGTGGAGTTTGAAAACCGTTTTTAGGAGCACAAACATTGGTGATTAATAAATGAGAGAAAAACAAACACCAATTGAGTATGGGTGGCCAGGGCAGGCATGAATTTTAAAACTTCACTGAAGGGTGCATGTTTGTTATCAGACCCCCCGTCACATTTTGACTTGGTGAGAATTCGGCAAATGGATGGGGGAAAGTGAGAACACAAGAGTATAAAAAACAACAAACTTGTGGCAGAACGGTTGGCAAGCACAGAGTAAATGAACTGTTGTTAATGCAGTGACCGGATGCAGCAGCCATTTTGATTTTTGTTTGTCTTCAAACGGAGGGAAAGGTGGTGAATTCGGTTTATGTGCTACCTCGTTACTAGAAAATGATGCAGGTCAAAGGTCAGCATGAGTGCATATTTACTACTTGCAACAAAAAGAAGGGGAAAAAATGCCATAAAATGGAACTTTGAGGTTCTTCACTTTGTACAACACTTACGGTACAACCATCACACTAATACAAGTTTTGCTTCATGTTCACAAAGTTATACAAGGTGATTTTGATACTGGTTTTTGAAACTGTCTATTGGACAGTGGATTTACAAGTAGTTCTAAGCTACTTCAAGAGTAGCATTTTTCAAAATCAGTATTTGTGTTACCAGCTGGCCAAAAACAATGAAATGGTTGTTTGTTAGAACATACCAGTTAAATTCCAGTGGCTTGAAAAAAAATTGTGTTCTGTTTCTTCAAGTGAAAACAAGTCACAGGGTAAAATCTTCCAGAAAATGTGTTGGATGAGGTTATTAGGTTTAGTGTTTCCCAAACGCCCATGCATTCGTCTGACCTGCATGTACATGTACAGTGTAACATGAATAATGGATTTGAATTCAACTAACAAAATCTGACAACTAAAAAGAAAAAAACCAGGGAAACGCACAGCACAACTGTCTTCAGAAAGTTCTAGGATACTTTTCTCCCTCCCGACATTCACCAAATGATTTGATTACATTCTCAATTTCTGATCGTGAGAGTCACCCGCACAAAATGGATTAATGCCTCCATTTGTCAATTAGGCAGTGCATGATGAAAACTTGTGCCAGATTTCCCACTGGAATCATTGGAATATGTACACGGAGTTACATGGTGAAATGCTTACATTAAAACAAAACATGAGAATAAAAGAAATGCCACCATCTGGTGAACATCTGTGTAGTGATGGATTGATTTCCAAGAAAACTGTTTAAGGTACACTTTTTTTTTTTTTTACTTGGAGAAGCATGCAATAAGCTACTAGCTAAAGACTACAAATGACAAAATAAAAAAAAAATAACATATGAATTATGATTCAAGAGAATTGCGACAAAGCTGATTTTGTGGAGAGGTCTTCCTACGGTACGAGACAAATTTAGGAGGGAAAACCGTCTGATATCTGAAGATAAACGAATCATTTTGTCTCAGACTCGTGTCTGCCAGTACGCACACAACACAGAGGCTAGCTGGTTGCTATACAATGCTCGTTTGCAATTCAACACTGAGTGATGTTTCATCTGACCAATCGCTGGATGGGATGGAGTCATGTGACCTCATGCAAAAAAGGTGTCTTTGATTTGTTTGGTGACGTTTTGAATGTTCTGGTGACTGGACTGAGATGTGGTTGGTAAGGTTTGTGGCCATCATGCAAAGGTGTGGCAACTAAAACTAATGTGTTGAAAAAAAAATTGAAAACAACCAGCCATCCTCCTTGATGTGTCGTACTTTGACATAAATATACAAGTTGATTGTCATTGGTAAGAAATTACTTGAAATCACTACACAATTTTTGTTTAATGATTTTGCACCATTTTATGAAAAAAAAAGTAACAGGATATAAATATGTACATCTTTATAAATCACAAACAACTCACGTCAGCACCGATAAGGAAATTAAAATGTACGGTGGTTTTTTTTGCAACGTCAATTTAAAAACAAATCTTGAAAAATAGCCTTAAAGATATCAAGCTGCCATAGTACTTTGCAAAGGGGAACCAGTTGCCATGGTAACATGGAGTTTAAAATGGTTACAACAGACCTGTCAGCTTTGAAACAACACCCTTAACGAGGTGAGGTTATACATGTCAATCATCCAATGAACAGAAGTGAGTGGAATTATTTAATGTACCTCACGGTCAAAACACAACAAAAGCCCACAAGGTCATTGTGTAAGAATTGATGACATTAAAAAAAAAAGAACAACCAATAAAGCGTAAAAATATGTTTGGTAAAAGGGTTAGTAGTGGTAAGACTGCTCTTGGGGCAATTGCAGATGAAAAGAGAGGCATGGATGGTACAAACTCAAAAAATAAAAGGAAAATATGGATGGTTGTTATGTGGGATATAAAGCGCTGCTGCTGGATATTACAAAAAATAAGGAGAGAAAAATCCTGTCATTGCTACCCGGCACCAATGTTGAAGGAGACAAAACAAAGTGGATGGACTCCAGTCACAGAAGGAAAATGACCGGTTTTCATCTTTGGTGGTATATCTAAGGCAACGGTGAGGCTGGTTATTGAAAGCGTGCAGAATATTGCACAATCATCACTCTTAATCAAGGCTTCATGTGTAATTCTCCTCATCTGTTCACTCCATTCATATTTTTGTTCCCACTCAAAATTGAAGAGTAATAAATATTGGTCAGATTTCACATTTTTTTTTTTAAATATATATATATTTTGGCAAATTAAAAACGGACTGAGATGTTTTTTTCTGTAATTTCTTTTTTACAGACTTTTTTTTTCTTTTCAATTTGTTTTTTTTTTCTACGACTCACTTTGCATAAGGAAAACAAAAACGAAGAAAGAAGGAACAAAAATTTTGCATAAATCACTGACAATTATTCGTTCAATCATTCGGTAAGGAGTTGATGTGAAAAATCACAAAAATACATGTAATAGGATTTCTCCTGGTAATTTATTTTATACACTTACTTTGGTGGGATTAAAAGGCTCCAATCATTATCCTCAATTCTTCTTCAGCACCACGTTGACAAACCGGCAACACTTACAGCTTATAGTGCTTCGCTTAGTGTCACAACAGCCGAGCAGGATCGCAATAAATGTCATCGAACTGATCTGAATAATTCATCTTTGAATTTTCTGTTTGTACAACTTCAGATTAAATTTTTTTTTGTTTTCTTCAAGCGAGTAAGTTCATGATTTCTTCTTTTAACGACTTTGACATTTCCAACCAACCACTAATCAAGGTGTTGATTTTGTTTATCCGCTCGTTTCCAGGCAAAATTACGCGGAGAGAGTAAAGAGTGCCACTTCCAGCTGTTTATGATTTGTTCATGGTCCAGCATCCAATTCTGATTTGCGGACTGAAAGCACACGTAAATTATTACCCCTTGAACAAAAACAGATTGATCCTGCTGATGCGCATGTCCAAAGGGACCCCCTGGAATTGATTTCACAAGGCACGGTGACATTTGTCTTTTTTTTCTTCAAGTAATGCTTCACTATCAAGGTGGAGAAGCGAAAGTAAATTCGGTTCTATGTGGTCCCCTTTAGTGCCCGGTTTTGTTCTTCTTGCGCCACTTTACTCGTGATGAAATAGTGGGCAAGCTGGGCTTGGTTTGGGGCTCCCGTGATGGTGACTTTACGGTTGCGTGTGCCGGGGATGTACTCCCCTTTCTTTGAGATTTGAATCTTGGCCCCTGAGGTGGTCTGAAACTCCACCAGCGTCTGGCCCCGCTTACCCAGAATAGCACCGATCAGGTTCTCGGGAACCTCCACCTCCAGAACAGTGTCCCTGGCAGGATCTTTGGTCCCCGGGGTCATGGGGGGTTCCTGCGCCAGCGCGAAGGAGCCAAGGCCACCACCAAGGCCACCACCGATGTTGGTAAGGCTGCCCATGGGAGCTGCCATCCCCATACTAGGCACTGAGGACTCCTGCAAAGGATGGCTAGGGACGGTAAAGGTTGGGGAGCCATTTAGGATGGGGCTTTCCCCTGCAGCTGAACAGGACAGACTTAATGGGGAGGGTAGAGTTGTTTTGGAATTGCCAGCGACTGCTGCGACCTGATATGCACCTAGTAAACCAGAGGGGAAGACCTGGGTGGGCTGTAAGTGGGCTGGGCTGCCCCCATATATGGCGTTAGGTGCTGCAATACCCGACATCGGCAGGCCTTGTATGGTGTAATTATAACTAGCTAAGGTATTTAGGGCATTAATGGCTGCTGCATCACCTGAACTATAGGATAAAGTCGTTGGTATCCGAGCGTAAGACTGGGGTGTGATTGACATACCAGGAGCACCTAGGGCAGTGGCTGGGAGCCCTGCAAGCCCAGCTGGGGTGACGGGGATCTGCGCTGCCTTGACCATGCTGGAAGGCATGACTGCTGCCACGGCGCCGTCGGCAAACGGCGAACCTGTGGGATTGGCGTTGGCCACTGGGAAGGTGGCAGTGGCATAACTCAGGTTGTTGCAGCTGCCGCTCTGCGGGTCCTCCTGCACTTTGTCGATGATGAAAGACAGGGCTTTTTTGTTGGGCTCCCCCTCCCCAGTGATGGTGATGACCCGTTCTGTCAGGGTGATGCCGTCTGATTTCTGGGAGATTTGGACCCTAGAGGCACTCTGTTCCATGATATGTTTAATCATGGCTCCAGCCTTACCTATGATCAGGCCTGCTGTACTGTTTGGCACGACTACCTTTACCTATCACAAACGAAAGAACAAAACAAGATGAGAGTAAGTTTCCATTAGATGAGATTTTTGCGTTGGGGAGATGTGAAATTTAATATCAGTTTTTTGCCCTTCACCAAAGTACTTCATAACTATGGTATGGTAAATGCTGCCGAAGAACTTGCTCCATAAAATGCAAAAACTTGCTCAGAGGGAACTCAAACCCATGACCTCCAGCTTACTAGTGCAGATGTCTTGACCGCTTGAACACTGAACCTGCCCAGGTTGACTGGCTGGTTCAAATATGATATTGTGGCTACAAAATACGAGGAGGTTATGATGGATTTGCTTTTGGTATTTTACATTTTAATATCGGCTTTTGGCCCTCTCTGACATCTACACTTATAAATTGGAGGTTATGGGTTCAAGTCCTACCTGAGTAACCTTGTAAAACATTCTCAGGCTTCATACAGCACTGAACACTCGGCATTCCTTAAAATGGATGAAGGGCAAAATGTAATAATATTACAAATGATGAATGTTCTCAACCATCCAGATAGTTGAACATTACACTGAAACCATTTGCCACCAGAAGATCAGTCGGCCTGAAGAAGCGTCCGGGATAGGACGTGAAACCATCGCAAGTTTAAATAGTAAGTCCAGTTGACTAGATGATATTATTTCAGTGTAATATTAAAAATGCTTTACTTGATTTCAAATTTCACAACATGCCGCTATTGTTAATGATCACACCTCTAAATTAATCAATATGTGCTCCGTTGTTATTACCAAAACACCTGCTTTTCTACTTCAGAATAAAAGCAAGTGTCCGCACATCAGTGACTGAAGGTGCTGGGCTTGGCAACATTAATCCATAACTTAAGCTTGACTTTTGAGGAATTTAAGGCTGCAGTTTTCTACAATATTTTGTTCTCTTGTGAAATATATCCGTTCTGCGCATACAGTACAACAACACATCTTTGCAGTAAAAGGCGAATACAGCACATATTTCATTATCAAAACAGAATATTAGTAACAGATTTCAAAGAGTAAAATGCAATGGAAATTGTAACCATTTATGGCTGTCTTGCACGGAATTTCGATTCGGTTTCACTAATAAAATAAAACTTTGTAGTTTTCCCGGGTTTGCCTCCTGATAGATCATGATAAAGCAATGAGAGTATTGGGTAGGTTTGGGCAAGACGGAAGTAACACATTTTTTAAGTAGTCTTTTTTATAAAATTGGTTAGAAAACTGGACTTCTTATTGCCAAAGTTGGTAGTCAAGTCTCCATATGCCTCAGTGATTTTTACAGTGTAGTTGATGCTTACTTAGAAGACACCAGTCCACTGTCAAATTGTGGAAAGAGAAAGTGTATAAGAAAAGAAAATGGCCGCAGTATGGCCCAGAAAGCTTCCTAATGGAAATAAACATAGCCACATACACATGCATAATTAATACATTTTACCAGTATTTTAAAATAAATTTCACATGAATCTGATTTTTAATTTTTACAACAAATGAGGCCTCTGGGGACTTCTCAATAATTTTTTTGTTCTGTTCTAGAAAATATTACAATAGAGGTTTAACCAGCTACGTGTACATGTAATAATAGTCAGATGACGTGGCATTTGTACATGTGTGCCTACGAACATGTTCCCCATGTACATCACATGATGCCTTATCCAGGGGATAAATAACCCTTGGTAAATATTAACAGAACCCAGGCAAAGCTTGTTCATTTACAAGCAGGCTCAGTCTAAAGGTTGTATTTGCGGCTGATAACAAGTGGGCCTCCTTGTGTACACACTAGCATGCACTGAATACATGCACTGCATAATACACTCGGGTCAAATTATAATCGTTCTCATCTTATCGGGGAGGGTGATAGGCCTGAGCCAAAAAAAATAAAAATTGCAATCTAACAAATTGTAAAAAATCAAAATGTACTGCGTCACTAGCAGTGTAAAAGCATGCAAGCAAACTTGTCCACATGTACTGTGCATTGACAACAGGGAGCTACAGATATCAAATATGTTTACACCTGAGGCTGTTTTGTTGTTGGTATTGTTTTTTCCCAGGTCCTGTGGACTTGGGGCTCTTGTCGTATCGACCTAGCGGTGAACTCAACTTTTATTCTCTCAACCTTCCGGTTCCTACACAGTTACCCACTGATGAACCTCCGCAGCCTGGATGGACCCGGTCGATTTTCCGTCCGATTCAATTACCAGCGGCCCGCTGCAGCGATTTTTACGTTTGCGGCTCTCATTTGTCATTTGTTGGCCAGAGTGTGGAACCAGTCACCTGGCCAAATGGCAGAGTTAACACTACTCAGTGTGATTTCATTACAAGGTGTCGGGGGACTGTTGCGCTTCGCAACGACGACGAAAAAAATGAAACCTGACTATTTATTAACTCAAAGACAGCCAGAAACAGGCTGTGTTTGCTTGACATTAACAAAAAAATGGGTCTCATTAGGGTAAAGTCACTCTTTTCAAGTCATAACCACAGCCCTGAAAAATAAGGTAAACACCGGCAATTGAATTAAACAGATCTAGGGGCAATTCCGCGGTAACTCACGTTACATTTGTCTTCCATCAACTCTGTGCTGTTATTTTATAAAGTCAAAGCATTGAGGGTGGATTTTTTTCACAGAAAATCCCTTGAAATTATGTAACTTAACTATAAATTGCCAGCAAAGTAGACTTTTGTTGGTTTGGCAATAAGTTTTTTTTATTGGTAATTCACGTTACAAAAATTCTTCTCCATCTCACTGCCACATCATTCAAATGAAAGGTCTTGTTGTCCCCTTTAATTTGATACCACATTCGAGGTTGAGAATGCTTGCAGCTTTGAAGATTTTACAAATTTTTCATTTTTCAGTCATGTCCACATTCTCATGGTATTGCCCCATGGCATATTGACAATGGGCAGTTTATTGACAGAATTTAACCCAAGTCATGCACTTACGTTGTACCGACATGTACAACTCTGTTTCTCTAACTTACATGTAACAAGTGTAGGATATGGTTTAGTTGAAAAATCAGGACTGGGAAAAGAGCTACAATGTATATACACGTAGTACATACTATCCCGAAATGTAAACTCATTATTTTAAAACAATTACATGTAATTCTAGGACATATTCGTAATTTATGATTGATCCTCTATAATGAGAGACGTATGCAGATCGGGGAAAACATAATTACATCACTACTGCATATATGTGGCCAGTGGCCATATATCTGTCTGGGTATGTCATAATTTTAACACGAGTTGCACATGGGTTCTGATTTATACTGCACATTGATGTACTTGTAACCAACAACATTCCAAATCGCATAGATCGTGTTTTTGCGTCATTCCAAACATTCCCTATTACTCATAATTTTAAACTGGAAAAATTATTTGATATTCTATTGACACCCAAAGTGAAAATTTAACTACAGATTACAACTTATCCCTGTTCCTGAAGAGGTTTGATTGTAGAATCTCTGCAAAGATATCTTAATCACTCAAATGAAAGGACATACAAATACAAAAATCTGATCTCCTATTTGATACTCCTAATTGTGTGCTCAATCTGCCCTTCCTATGGGGACGATTTCAATTCTATCTGCAGAGTGTGTTCTGATTTGTGTTTATTTCTATAAATAGCTTGACCTCATCGGGACAGCTTGCTTGGTCCCCTGCATTTATGATGGAACCTTGGTTTGAACTGACTCAAGCCACTGTCATCTGGTTCACATGTACCTGGACACACAGGGTTAAATCACAGTCTGACATTGGATGTTTATACCGACCATTCATCATTGCTAGGCTTTGTCACACTATCGTCTTGCATACCCGTGTTGAAATCATCATGGGTCCGCCATGTGCAGAACTGGGTCCAATCATGGTCCAATTGAACATGGGACAACAAGGTACACTGTTCACACTAACACCACTTTGTACACGGAATCAACTGTAGATTTTGGATTTTCTACCTGGGTGGTGACTCTCAAGTCTCAACCCTGGTTCCGACCAGTTGATTTTCACCTGTGTAGAGCACTGGCTTCATGGGTCCAGCAGTCTAAAAAGCAGTAAATCTCAAACTAAGACCCAATCCAAAGCAGTTGTTTTGTCAGTGGGTATGGCCATGGCTAACAGGTAAAAACAAAATCTAGTCCCAGTCAGGACCCGAGGTGAGGGGAAGTGGTGTGCATTATGGGAACCGGGTACCCTATTGCAGTCAAACACGGGAACCCGGGTACCCGTAAGAGACTAGAGGTGAGGGGAGTGGTGTGCATTATGGGAACCGGGTACCCTATTGCAGTCAAACACGGGAACCCGGGTACCCGTAAGAGACTAGAGGTGAGGGGGAGTGGTGTGCATTATGGGAACCGGGTACCCTATTGCAGTCAAACACGGGAACCCGGGTACCCGTAAGAGACTAGAGGTGAGGGGGAGTGGTGTGCATTATGGGAAACGGGTACCCTACTGCAGTCAAACACGGGAACCCAGGTACCCGTAAGAGACCAGAGGTGAGGGGGAGTGGTGTGCATTATGGGAACCGGGTACCCTATTGCAGTCAAACACGGGAACCCGGGTACCCGTAAGAGACTAGAGGTGAGGGGGAGTGGTGTGCATTATGGGAACCGGGTACCCTATTGCAGTCAAACACGGGAACCCGGGTACCCGTAAGAGACTAGAGGTGAGGGGGAGTGGTGTGCATTATGGGAAACGGGTACCCTACTGCAGTCAAACACGGGAACCCAGGTACCCGTAAGAGACCAGAGGTGAGGGGGAGTGGTGTGCATTATGGGAACTGGGTACACTATTGCAGTCAAACACGGGAACCCGGGTACCCGTAAGAGACCAGAGGTGAGGGGGAGTGGTGTGCATTATGGGAACTGGGTACACTATTGCAGTCAAACACGGGAACCCGGGTACCCGTAAGAGACCAGAGGTGAGGGGGAGTGGTGTGCATTATGGGAACCGGGTACCCTATTGCAGTCAAACACGGGAACCCAGGTACCCGTAAGAGACCAGAG